CGGTGACGCGAAGATAAGAAAGATAAATAACTTAACGTTAAATGTATATAAATTACTGCTGTTAAGACTATATAAATGATGTTGTCATTGTATCTAAACAAGGATTAATACCAATTTCGGCGTGAACTTATTACATAAAATGGAACCAAGAAAGCTGAGAACTTTTCAGATTATAACACGCGAAACTTTGAATAGCATTGAAGTTACGGAATCGAAATCCTATTGACAGTTATCAGATGTTTATTATGCAAGCAGAAGAATAAGAAACTAATCATTATTTTGTTGATATTAATTTTCATCCCATAGATCAGAGGTTCCCAAACTTTTTTGTGTCGTAGACCTTGCCATGTTTTTCGGTTTTGGGCTTTTGGCTTACCTGATATTGATTTTTTTGTAAATTTATTATATATATTGGGACATCTTTATAATTATTAAGATCTTTGCTCTGAGACTGCGCGTATGCTTGTAACAAGATTATACTGGTATATCATTATGTGCAGGTTTTTACAAGTTCAAAATGTATTGCGACCATAAAGCGAATGCCTACATCCTACAATTTACACAATTTTATAAACATATATAATATTTTTTTTACTTCATAGGTACTTATAAATAATGTATATGTCTTTATATTATAAAATAGTATAATGTAAGTAAGTACTATCAGTGTATGTTGAGATCGGGTCTATATCGAATGCCCGACGTTCGATATTCCGACATTCGAAATCCCGACTATATCAAAATCCCGACAACCATAATCCCGACAGTATCAAAATCCCGACTGTATCGAAATCCCGACAGTGTCTTTTATTATTATAATTTATACAATAACATTTTTAAATTTTTCAGAAACGCAGTCACCATCTACTATTATATAATATTAATAACAATAAAATATTTTTAATTTAGAATATTTCTTAATTTTAAGTTTTATTAAGTCAATGAAAACAAATACAATAATAAATATATATATATATTGTTATTAATAGTTAATAACAACAATGAATAATCTCAACTCCCCCCCGTTATATTCTAGAAATAAAAAAACTCGAGCGATGAATTTTTAAAAGATTTTGGGCTGGAGGCATCATTGAACCATCCTTTTTTGAAAATGAGGCTGGTCAAGCAGTGACGGTTACTGGTGCTCGATATCGCGACATGATAACACACTTCTTTCTGCCTCAGTTGGATGATATTGATATAGACGACATGTGGTTTCAATAAGATGGTTCCACGTGCCATACAGCCCGTGAAAAAATTCAATTACTGCAAGAGACATTTCCTAGTCGTGTACTCTCTCGTTTCGGTGATCAGAATTTGCCCCCCTAGATCTTGTGATTAAACACCATTAGAATTCTTTTTATGAGGTTATTTGAAGTCAAAGGTCTATGTCAACAAGCCCACAACCACCCATGTATTACAGGAAGAAATTAATCGCTGCATCAACGATATTCAGCCACATTTATGCAAAATGGTCATGGAAAATTTCTATAAAAGAGAGGCCATTTGCCCAATGTATTATTCCATAAATAACCTATGTATTTTATGATTCAATAAAAAAATCACAACTTGAAGACTAAAAATTCTGTTTTCTATTTAATTCAAATCTATCTTTAATTTTGGGACACCCTTTATATATAAACATATAAATGACAAAGTAGAGAATGCAAAATTCATGTCTGGTAAAGATTCTTTGTGAAAGTCTGTACCTTCCATTCTCCGTTCCAATTAATATGCAGAGCAAGTGTTTTTCCGTTTTCGGGATAAATTTAAACACCCTCTCCGCACCACTATTGATAGGGGGTGTGAATACCCCAATTTCCATGCCGTACTTTTGCATAAATTCGCAGGACCCGACACAAACTTCGTGGTGCAGACCCTATCCGAGGACCGACACAAAAACTAATTACGCTAAACGTGAATCCCGTGCAAATATGAATTTACACAATCATCCTTCTTATTCATATTCCCTCGAGATACAAGAATTCTAATTAATCATATTAATTAAACGTAATAAAATTGTTAGTTAATAATATAAATACAAAATTTACTGGATCAATCCAGAAGAGTGTAATTTAGGGATAAAGTTTATCGAGTTGCTAAGGTAAAAACATTTAATCGTCGTTGTAATGGCAATAAATCAGGAACAACCAGACAACAAACACGAAACTGTACGTCACGTGCAGTGATTTTTCAAGTATTTAAACGTTACACAAACTCCAATTTAGTCTACTGAATGCACGAACCCAAACAATCATTCAAACTTATAATTATAAACTTGTAATTTTTGTTTTGTTTTGCAAAAGAATGATATAAAGCAGAATCAATTTAGTTTCGTGAAATATACTCAAAGTGATGGAATAGTAACAAAAAATCTCTACAAAAACGTGTCTCAACCAATTTGTTGCGTCACCAAATTCTACAGCTGTCACATTGTTTCAAAGCTCGCAGCAATTGGACAAATTTCGTCTTTCCAATAAATAACTTCATCTTTTTTTGCAATTTCTTTGCGACAGGAAATTCGTTAGGGTGCCGACGTCTTCCTTTAACCGATGAATCGTGTAATTCGATAAAGACTTGTGATTTTCTTTCGTTTGAGGGGAGGGGCGTACGTAGAAGTCGACGTGAATTTCGTTTTGCAATATTATCTTCATTTCTGCTTTGCGCATAATATCCTAAAGAATAAATTTTTCAGAGAGGGAAATGAAAGGGCGAGACCCAACGAGCGGAACCGGAAGAGATGTTAAATATATTTAAATGAGCGATCCATTTCGGTTATACAACGAATAGATAACAGTCATTTTTGGGGGGCCTTTCGACGTCGCATTAAAGTTAAAATATTACTTCTTATCAGAGAAAACTCATAAGTTTCATATGATTTACATAAGTATTCAATAGCAAAACCTCGCATAGTCCGGTTTCAAATAGTCTGAACAGATTACCAGCACTATGCGAGGTATTGCTACAGAACTATGAGATTATCCAAAATGTGATTATGAAACAAACTAGTCGTATCATAAAATAATACCTTATGTCCATTCATTCATCAATTCCACAGGGAATTATAATACCTCGGACGTTATTCGTTCTATATGCAAATTTTTGGAATGAGAAAACTAACGCGTAATAAAATTATCAAAATTTTTAGCATATTCGCTAAATCACTTTTTATATGAATTTTTATAACAATGGAATTGATGTAAAAATTCTATTTAGGTTGCGATATTCAAATTGATTTTGCTAATGATCGCACCAAAATAAAACATGTAAATGAAGCCCAGACGGATTGTTCCAATGTAAATCTGTTGCTTGTAAATATTTAACAAGTTGTTGGCGAGGCGGACGGAGACTGTCGCCCAGATGGAAATAACAAAAAAAAAAGAAGTAAAGAAACTGAAAACTTCTAAAGCGAGCTTCTCTGTCCAGGTTCAATTAAGTTTACATTCCACTGGGACCTGCATTAATGAGAATCTCTCTCTTTTCTTCTACATCCCATTCCCAAACTCATTGAATATTTATCAAGACGTGTATTTGTTATTTGATTTTCCTGCACATTTTTACGAACAAAATAAATTCTCAGTAAAGCTAAGATCAGTATACATTTCTACGTACTACAAAGTATTAGTTTTAATTTTTAGAGCAGTGATTTTCATGCGAAAGTTTGACACATAGGTGAGAAAAGGTTGAAAAACTCTGAATACTATTTTATTACAATGAAAAATTCCATTTGAATACTCCACGTTTGTGAATTAAGCTACTGAGCAATCAACTAGTTGCAATGTCTATGGTAGTAGATATACATCCCAATGGGAGACTACTTCTCGCATCGACTGATGATGCGAGTTGAATGCGAAATGCAACAATCTCCTATTACTCATATTCCCAAAGCATTCGGCTCATCGATAGTTACATGAGTGTCTTCAACTATATGTTTTCGCGTATCACAACAAAGTTTAATTTAATGATTTGACGTTTTAATGTTCCTCGCTTTTTGACACAAGGTGACAGCTGTCATTACGTAACCTAACTGTTTTGTGTGTAGTTGTAATGCGAGCCAGCTGTTTACAACTTAAACTTTTTTGACAAGTTGACAGCTGTCATTTGATTAAAATTTTAACCCGCAGGTAGAAGCGATAAAGCGTAGTGGAGTTTAAGGACATCATTTGATGCAGTTACTACATGTTTGATGAGATTGATGGGTACCATTGAAAACCAACAATATTCATTACAAACTGTAACAAATCACAGTGCGTAATAATTGAATATTTGCAGTAACGTCCTGTGTAGTAAGCGCACTACATATTTATCCGATTCGATAATTGTCAATATGTACATAGACTAAATTCACATTCATATCTTAATTAATATTTGTAACTACACTTTGAACACCACAATTAAACACTTTAAACATTCGCTACGTTTCTCCTAGAAGAGTGTAAAACTTCTTGAACATACTGCAGGAGTGTTGTAGTAACAATAGTTATTGGAAATTCCAGCACCTTTCGTTCAATAGACTCAATTACAAAGTGCTAAAACGTCTGGGAAGGAGAAGTGTTTTTTTTTAATAAAATCGAGGAACGCAGACGACGTTCAAGTGCTGATGAAATTCGTTTCCATGGGAAAGCTCAACAGCTACAACAGCTGGAGAAAGGGGATTTCATATTTATTGCGACTTTAATAATATGAATTACGATGCAACAAAAAAAAATAAATAATAAAGTTAAAACGTGCCAGAAAGCGTGAGTCAAAATTAGCATTTAATTTGAAACTTTTCAATGGATGGGCTAAGATTTCAATAAGGTTTTTCTTTCTGTAACCTTCATTGTTTCCGGCGAAAATTAATTCCATATTTTCTTTTTCCTTCTTTGAAGGAAACTTAATTTAAAACTTCCTAATTAGTTTCGCGCGCGCCCACGAAAATACGTGGTAAAGAAATTGGTTGATTCTATGCGAATTCTAAAGCAAAAGTTTCATGATCGTCGTCGCTTTTATTGTTGCAGAATTGGACCTGGATTTTTTGGAGCGCAGACACAATGCGTCCCATCACCAACAGCAGCATCAGCAGTCAAATCAGTCGCGGAAGATGCACGAGAAGCAGCAGGCACAGGACCAGCAGGAAAGTCCGATTGAAATCAGTCCGGAGAGCGTTGACAGGGTAAAAGTTATACTACTCGGAGCACCGGCAGTTGGAAAAACTAGCATCATTCAGGTAATTCCAATCTCCATGATACAATGTGATTATGCTACAAAACATTTTTTTTTGTTTGTTTGTCGATGTACAATTGCATTTTTTGTTGCACGAGTATCTTTTCGTTCGCTCGAACGTACTCGACGTTCATATACCTTGCAGTCGAAAATTGTCATTTTACACTAGGTATTCACCTTTCAGAAACGAATACAAATTTCAACAAAAGCATCTAACGATTTAAACAGAAGTTAAACGCATTGTACGTACGGATATTTATACGTTTAATCGAACAGAAAGTAATTGAGTAATTGAAAGATTTACAGTGTGTGTGTGTGTGTGTGTATATATATGAAGTAATGTTGGGTCGTTAAGAATTGGATATAAATCAATGGAGGTACTGCGAGGAATTTTAGCTGACGCGTAATTAATGAAGTGCCCAAAACGGTCCAATTGCAATTTCCCCAAGATCGGTTATTAGTCCGCTAGTAATCAGTTAATTGAATTTAAAATTACACGATCTAATTAATTAGGTAATAACGTTGCATCATACTCGAGCGAGATTTGGTGCGGTGCAGCTTGTTAACTGGCGCACACACAAAACCAGCTTACTTCCGGCATTGCAGACACGCATTCCGGAAATCCTATTTCACCTCACATCACAAATATGCAACGAGTATTTCCACAACAAACGTATTTTTATAATACTTATTTTAATTTTCTTTAATGTTGCTAATCACTATTAGCATATAGATCATAGAATTGTCTAATTGAAATAAAAGCTATTGACTTTCAGATGAGTGTCGAAACATAACTTTGACAGTTATGGTTTTCCTGTAATAAGTAGTTACATAAGCAACATTTTAAGGTTGAAGGAAATGTTTACTATTGAAGCATAACTGTGACAGTTTTGGGTTTCGTATAATGAGAAATTACATAAACGATGTTTTGGCTTTAAAAAGTTGTATTGCTTTACATTTTTACGTTTTCCTCGATAACTACTATTAGCATGTAGATCATATAATTATCCAATTAAAGTAGAAACTATAGACTTTAAGATGAAGCATAACTGAGACAGTCATGGATTGCGCGTAATTGCATAAACAATGCTTTAAAGCTCTAAGAAGTTTTATCTTGAATCTTGATAATTGATAGTATGTAGCAGATAAGATATTATTACAGTTTTAGATGTTACCTTAACAATCCTGCAAGAATCATATTTACTTGAATTTGCTTAATATAGTAAAATAACTTTTGTATCTTTTATACGTTTACCATTTGCTTAAAATTCACTTCACTTTGCTTTAGTTCATCCTGGGTTTAAGGACCCATAGAAAATGAAATTAGATAGAAAACGTATTTTCGTCCGAATGCATTTTACACTCGTACAATTTGTGTGTGTATGCCCTGGAGGAAATGGAAGCGCGTCGAGAATAAAGCCGACGAGGAGTTTTGCCTCAATTAGATTTGCATTTCATTTGGCTTGTTTCGCTCCACCCATGATGAAAGCGATAAATTTCCATTTGGATCTCCATCGTTTTCTCTACTTCACTTTACACATCACCATCAACTTAAACACCAATTATAAAATGTATTGATGATATATTTCAGAGGGCTTTTGTACTTTCTTTTTTTTTCAGTTTGAATAACTTTTAACATTTAAAAATCAATTAACTTCATGTCAAAATATTTGCAGACAAAATATAAAACGCAGTATATTTTCCGGTTTTGGGTCGAACATATTAAATCCTGCAGTTTGCTGCTGCTTTTGATACAATCATTTTCGTTGCAAAACAAAACCTTATTCTGCCGCTTTCCAATTCAAACGAATTTATGTTGCACTTTTCATGCTTACAACACATCTTTCTGATCTTCGCATAATTTATTACATTTTGCTCCCTTACTTCCCTCTTTTTTAGTGTATTAAATAACTATATTTTCCTTATGAAAATTCGTAATTTCCTCCTAATACACAGAGGATATACACACTGCAGTTACTCTTTGATCTTTAATCAGGAACATCAGTTCTTTATTTTCCCCCCCTTCAACTCCAGATTTTCGCTTACAAACTACGGTCTATTGCTGTGTCAGAACCACTCAAGTTTTCAGAAAAAGAAACTTATTTAATAAGAAAAACTATTAAAGAAAACAATTTTTAACTTTAATATCATTTTTTTTATGTCGTATAATTTTATTTACAATCTTTTCATCAATTGAGTAAATTTAAGATCGCGGTTGACAATAGATGGATAATCTTTTCCTGGTGGATAGTTATCATTATGATGATTTGATTTTAATTTGTTGGTTGGCTGTCGTCTTGTAGGTTACTGTGTATCTGCTGCTATCCTTAACATTGCCGTTGTCCATCGACTTGGCTGAAGGTCCACATGCTGAACCTCTTTCATTTCACTGTTCATCTGTGATGAACGATGGCTCTATTGCTGCAAGCAATGAGAGGGCTCACAAAGGGCCTGGATTCGAATCGGCGCCCACGAAATCGTGGGTAGGGCGACTTAACCATTCGGCTATATGTGCACCAAAAAAATGTACGAAACTTTTTTTGTCCTTCAAGTAAGAAAGTTTTGCAATTCATGTATGAATGTATTTATATATATATATATCTGCTAAATTGTAGAAATCTTAAACCAAGCCTTATACAAACTATTTTGATTACGTTGATCTATAGAATAAATAAATGTATGACCGAAAAATGTTAATGAATTGTTTCTGTCTTTACAGCAATTTGTATGGAACGAGTTTTGCGAGGATTACGAAGCCACCGATCGCAAACACACTTACTACCCGTCAGTGATAACGAACGAACGGCTCTACGAGATAAAGATCTCCGACCTTCCGGTGATCCCTTACTTTCCCGTAAACTCGTACTATGAATGGACGGACTATCGGTTCTACGGACTGCGCAGCGCCACCGCCTACATCCTCGTCTTCGACCTCTCCAACCTGGAAACGTTCCAATACGTGAAGACCCTCCGAGAGCAGATCTGCGAGAGTCGCAACATGAGCAACGTTCCCGTTCTGGTGGTCGGCAACAAGCAGGATCTGATCACCGAAGAACCGGCCGGCAGCAGCAAGACTCTGGGCGCCGCCGAGGAGAAGCGACGCGACATCGTAAACCTCGTGAAGAAGCACTGGAAATGCGGATACGTCGAATGCAGCGCGAAATACAACTGGAAGGTGATCGCCGCTTTCAAGGAGCTCATCAACATGATCGACAGCATCGAAGTCAGGGACCAGAGCCCCATTCTGGACAACCTGCAGGACGCCCTCGACCGCAACAAGTGCGTCATCTTGTAAACAGTTTTGCTCAATAACGCAATAAATAATCTCTATGGACAATCTATATACAAATATATATATATTATGAAAGAAAAAAGAACAAAGTGCAAAAGGATGTACGCGCCCATGCTCATATTCTCTTCACGACTGATACGCTCGTATACAAGGCAAACTCTCTCAACAGCCGCCAACTTTTGCTTCATGTCTATATCATATAGAAACAAGCTTAGACAATCCAGACATATTAACACTCAAATATATGTGACAGCTGTTACTTTCCGAGAAACAACTGAAAAACAATTGAGTACAATTAAAAGCAAATATGTTGAATCGCGAAATGACAGCTGTCACCTTGTGTCAACTACAAACAAATATGTTGAAAAACTCTGATTTTAGTGTTGAGGATCACTTGTATAAACAGAAACTAAAGTCAATAAATCTTTATTAATTACATTAACATTTTTTTTGATAAATTGATGAAACATGAGCGCGCTCATTCTAAATATAGAAATTTAAAAATAAAAACAAAAATACGCAAGTAAATCGAAATCTCTATGTACGTAAAGCGTTGTTTCTTCATCGTTTTTTTTTTCAACAGGGTTGTGATTTCCGTGTGAATGCCAAAAATTGTAATAACGTTCTCATTTAGTTAATATAATGATTAAGCAAAAAAAAATTAAAGACAAAATAAGATTTGTATGTAGACTCTATCGATTGAAAGATGATATTTTTATGTAACTTTAGTGTTATTTATTAGCGGTACGATTTCATTCGCTCAATGTTAGATTTTTTTGTAATGAAAATGCCACAAATTGTGCATTTCTCAAAAGCAAAGTAGTTGATTGAAACTTAATAAACAAAAATCTCTTTAAAGTATATATATATTCATAACTCGCTTTATTATTAATTGTGTGAATGTAATGTAAGTATTTTTCCTTATATATATTTAGTACTCGATTGATTTAGATAAGGTATAATAGTAATTATATAATCTATAAGTATTTAGTACGAGTTGAATCAGAGGTACGTGACTCGAAATACTGCTAGTTTAAGTACGCTCGAAACTTCTGCGCTCTAATACTATTGATCATTGTTTCTTAGTTAAACACTTCCGCATAACTTATTATACAAAAATACATACAGCAAAGTTTCTGTTGCACGTCTGCAACTTCGTTGTCTGCAGCGCGCTTGTAAAATATAATTATATTTGTTAGATGACACGAGAAACGCATTCATAAAATATAATGCATTACACAAGACAATTCCGCCACGTTCAATTGTATTTACAAAACAATTTCCGAGAGGACGTAAACTTAATAACTAGCATAGATTATTATCTGAAACGTGGAGAATCTCAACTATCTAAGTGCGTATATAAGTTTATTTTAATTGCATTAACATTGCAGTTAAATATATCAAACTTGTTTAGTGTTGATTATAGGTCTGCATAATATTTGTTTGTCTTGATTGAAATCTATGTTTTATGAAAAACAATTAATAAAAACTGTTGCATACAAACATTGACACAATCAAATACAGTTGACATCTGCTGAGACAACACAATGAAATCTAGTAAGCCAATCAGTATAAAAAGTTTACATTTATCAACACTATTTAGTTCCTCGATTAGTCTGGATTCAAATATTTTGGCAGAACCGATTACACTATTCGAATTATTACTGCACTTATAAATACTGCAATACCTCGCACAGTGCGGCGTCGATCAGTGCTGATTCACTATAGTAAAGTTTGAAAATAAATGATCACTAAACAAGGTATGTTTGTACTTACATATATAGCAATACCTTGCACAGTGCGTCTTCGAACAGTGCTGATTCACTATAGTAAAGTTTGAAAATAAAAGATCACTATACAAGGTATGTTTGTAGTCATATATATAGCAATATCTCGCACAGTGCGGCTTCGAACAGTGCTGATTCACTATAGTAAAGTTTGAAAATAAATGATCACTATACAGGGTATGTTTGTAGTCATATATATAGCAATACCTCGCACAGTGCGGCTTCGAACAGTGCTGATTTACTATAGTAAAGATTGAAAATAAATGATCACAATAAATGATTCACTATAGTAAATTGTTATAGTATTTGTTTAGTTCCTCGATAAGATTAGAATATTGGCAGAATCGCACTATACCTCGCATAGTTTGTACTTATATATAGCAATTTCTCGCACAGTGCGGCGACGAAAGTCCTTATTCACTATAATACGGTTTTAAATTAAACAATCGTTTTTGATTATGCAATTGTTTTGTTCCTTGATTATTTAGTTTCTCGATTAGTTCGGTTTCAAACACAGCGAAACAGATTACCTGCACTATAAGAGTTATTCATGCACTTATAAATACGGTAGTACCTCGCAGTGCGGCTTCCAATAGTCCTGATTCACCATAGCACTGTTCTCTTTATCTACTTAATTAGTTTCTCGATTTGTTCGGTTTCAATTACGGCGAAACAGATTACCCGCACAGTATCTCGCACAGTGCGGCTTCCTGTTTGATAGTCCTTTAGGTCTGTATTCGCTCTTCATAAAATCTACCGCTCTACATAGCTAAGTAAGTAAATTTAAAAAAAAAATATTAGTATACTTCATGACAGCCAAACAAACTTGCAGTAAAACTACCAAATAAAAAAAAACAAGCAAGCCACAACATAAACAAAACTAATTTACGACAGTTTTATAGACAATTTTTTTTTTTGGACTTTGTTGATGAAAATCAAGACATCTTGCAAAATTCGAAAGGACTAAAGATTTTTGGATTAACATAAGGAAATATTTTTTTTAAATAAAAATAAACAAATTTTAAAATAAAGGAAAAAAAAACAAATTTAAAGAGTTGAAATAAATGTTAAAAATAGTTATTTTTTATTATTATTAATAATTTTTTTTTTGTATATCCCCCTTCAATAAAACCCCTCAATTTGATTCAAAAATACAACTTTGAATATTAAAATTTCGCTATATTATATAATATATATATATTATAAAAAAAACAACAATTTCAGTTCGTTTCTTTTCAAATTGCAAAAAAAAATAATTATATAGATAGGCGTAGGCAACTGTGAGTCTGAATGGAAAAGGTCCACGGCGAACAACAACAATAAAACAATAGAAAAAACAATGGATAGTTTTCGAGTTACGAACGAACTGGGGGGGTCACTGCAAGTATGGAACCTGAAATTAAAACAAAAGAATAACATGCGTTGCAGATAATTTTTGATTAGTTTGATGATTTTATCATATTAGTTTACCAATTAGCATTAAGCGTTAGTTGCCAAACTTAAGTTCAGAGCAGCTAAAGGTTAAACAAGTTATTGTCGAATTATTTTTCATTGATTCTCAATGTTTCACTGAGTAAAACGTATAGCAAAATCTTATTATACCTCAAGATATTTCTTCTAAATAAATTTGTTTTAGAATTCACAAAGTGTTTGAGCATTAACGGATTTAGAATCTGCACATTTCCATAGATCAAATAAGAAAGTTCTTTATAGAGTGCAATTTACAAGTTTTCTGATGAGAAAAGTAAGTAAGTCTATATGCACTTACCTCTCTTAAGGTGTACAAAAAAGCTATATCATAACATTTTGATGCAAATTAATATCAAATATACAAAATCTTCAAATAATTCAAACTATTTGATGAAGAAAAAAAAATAAATAAGAGTACTATTAACTAATTAACAACAATTCAAACAATCTACGTCATTCAAAGTGATGAAAATACTCTTACCTATTACAAAATAGACCCAAAATCCTATAAACAAACACTTTCTTTGTAATCTCAACGAAAATTAATCTTTCACTTGTATATTATATAACTTTTTCGATAAAGCAAGTTTGTTAAGTTGCTGTTTAATACTTGATTTAGTTATTAAGAAAATACTCCAAACACTTAATGAATTAGTCAAAGTTAATAGTAATTTTGATTTCTCTATAAATAAAAAATAACTAAGATTAATAATTATAATAATAATAATAACAATATTTATTAGTTACCCAATTTACAGAGAGAGAAAAAAAAAGAGATAATAATAATACAATTAAAATATATATTTGTATATAATATAAAGATTTAATAAAAAAAAAATTAGTGTTAATCGGTGATCTCTCGGAACCCAAAAAAAAAATAATATTTATATATAATTATAATTAAAACTCTAAGACTATTTAGTTTAGATGTAGAAAATAATATTCGCTAGGATATTTAGTATTTGAAGATGAAACTTGATCTCAGTTATTAATCGGAGAAATACAAATCAATCTTAAAAACTTTAGATATTAATTATGACATTAACAACAAACAAAATCTCAATCGTATAAACCTATTTCTTGATTAATAAACAAAAAAAGTAATAACTAATATATTGAAGAAAAACACTCAATCTTTTTGATGGATTCACATTAGCACAAAGAATTTCGTTTTTTTTTTTTTTGATTAATTGGCTGTGTTCAATTGAAATAATAGTCTACAGTCTTTCGGATACAAGTGACGTTCCAGCGCCTTCTTATTTTATTCATATATTTTATTTACGATTTACGTTCTGGTTTAATTACTTCTTTTTTTTGTTATCAATTAAGTTTAAGTCCCCCAAGCGAAACAATCAATAGTGTTTGTTTTTTTTTTGTTTAAATAAAAACAAAAAGCGAATCCTAAAACGAATCGCAAATCCGAATACGTGCCGGAGTCGAACGAACGTGATCTCTCGAAAGTTGTGGGCGGAGCAGCTCTGGCTCCTCCCCCCCTTCTTTTTTCTTTTTCTATTTTACAGCGCATATGTATCAAAAAATACTTCTGAAATCGGATTCCAACAGTCTTCAGATCAGATCAGTATAGAAAGAGTGAGCGAGTGAGTGAGAGAGAACTTAAGTCACACGGTTATACTTTGTACTTTTTTCTTATTTTATGTGTGTCAAATCAAGCACCTTTTTTATTGAGGGATAGGCTTTTTAGTAGAAATATTTTATCTGGATAAGAGATTTTTCCTCGGTGCCAGTAATGGTAAGACTAAAAACAGAAGAGAAAATATATTCAATATTAAATATAACAATCTATTTTCAAAAAGTCGTATAAAATTTTCAAAATTTTTCTTTTTCTTTTCAATTTGTTAACAATAATTTCACGCTTAAACTATTTATATACCGTTTCATTATATACACTGTATTGTTTTATCGTTTTTACTTGTTGTTTCTTTTCATTACTCATTAATTTACTGAAATAAATTGAATACGATTCTGTACAAAAATATAGATTTCGTTTTTATTTTTTATATATATATTAATTATTTTAAAAATTTAAAATTAAAAAAAATCAATCAATCCTTTCCAAGAATAAAATAATAGTTATTATTATTATTAAGCACTTTCCTCTATGTTCAATATATGCATTATTTATACGTTATTTATTTAAAAAAATTAAATAATAAAATAATAATTGCATAGAGGATTCTCATTGAATTATTATTAACTAAAAAGATAATCAAAATATATAAAACTAAAGCAAAAATAATAAATGTTTGAAAATATATTTTCGCATTTGCACAGAAGAAAAATATATATATATATATAATATATAGAAAATACAAAATTTTAATTTCGTAACAGTTTTTTTGTTTCTGAACAAAAAACTTTCCGTTATGTACATTATTATTATTTGTTTATTTATTTATATAAGCGTCTTCCGTATTATGTTTATGTTTTACTCGATCTCTTGATTAATCTCTAAATGTCTCGTTTATCTCAGATATTTATATATTTACAACAACAACAAAAATATGAAGAAAAATAATTAATATATTTGATATATTACTTCTATCTATAATAAATGAAAGAAAGTAATAATAATTGTGTGTAGTGGAAATCTATTATTATGTTTTGAAATCAAATGTTTAGTTTGCTTTGTAGTTTTAAGCTAATGATGGTAAATGATATATGTAAGTGATTAAATGAAGAATAATAATTCGAGAAATAAAATATTTATAAATATATATGTATATACATATATATATATATTTGTTTGTTTGTTTATATGTATATATACTCTGTGTATATATAGATATAAAGAAATTAATTAATAAGAGTGATGAGAGAGAGAGAGAGCTTTTAAGAAAGTTGAACCTGTAAATCAGACATCTCCATATCGTCGGTAATCTCTGCATCCTCGTACTTGGTTTCCACCACGATGTCCTCCGTCGTCGTGTTGTCCATGTTTCCGTCGTCGTTGTCGCGATGGTTCGACTGGTTCCCATCGTTGGGTTGCTGCTGCTGGGACTGATTCTGCACGGCGTTCGCGGGATTGTTCGCTTTCGTTCTGCCGTACTTTTCGTGAATATTCCTGTGCCTCTTCAAGGCGAACCTATCACTAAAACCGACACTGCAGATATCACATTTAAAAGGCTTCTCCCCACTATGAACCTGAGAACAATTCAAACAAAACAAAAATTGCAAAACCATTATTAGAACGGGCAGCGTTTCCCCCCCCCAACATCTTAATCTTATTAATAATGCACACATTACTTTTGCGTGGTTCTTCAGATGGGTAGCCTGATTGAAACACGATCCGCAGATGTCGCAGCGGTACGGTTTTTCGCCAGTGTGTATCCGCCGGTGATTCCACAAGGTCGAATGTCTCGCGAACGATTTGTCGCACACCTCGCACACGTACGGTCTTTCCCCTGAATGGATGCGTTCGTGGTTCTTCAGATGTGGCGATTGCGAAAATTGCATTCCGCACACGTTGCATCTGTAAGGTTTCTCGCCTAAAATACACACAAAATAAACATATTTAAGTATTGATTGTCTAACAACAAGAAGTTATCTCGTACATTTCAATTTATGACAGTTCAAGAACGGCTAAACTATTCCAATACCGGTAAATTTTGATAAGAAATACCGGTAATTTGGGTCTTATTGATTTAAACATTGAAATTTAGTTTTCAGAACATGATATCTACATTGCTACCTATACACTTAGCTATAGAAGCTGTAAGTGCACCTGATTCTACTTTTCTTTACTTAATACCAAAGTTAACCATAAATTTATAATTGATTTTATGTATTCTATATCGACGCATAAAGTTTTCGAATGTTGTCTACTTTTTGCACAATTTGTCCACAATTCTCTATAATTTAAGAACATACACCAATAAGATAATCATAATTTATTTCAGTTGAATTAATCTGTCATTCAACTACTATTGTCAGAAGATGGTACAGTTGTCGTTCAAATAACGAAAAATTTGATCATGTCTTGAGTGATTTAGATACGATTTAATTCTCAGTAAAAACTGAATCTGAATATTAAAAAAAAAACAGTCTTGTAATGTATTAAATTTATTTCGAATTTGTTATTATTTCAATGAATTGCTTTTTTATGAAGTAAAAGTACGTTTGTATATTGCGGACAGAAATTTTTCAATTTAAAAAAAAATACCGGTAATTACTGTTAGTTAACCGGTAAAACTGTTTACCATTTAATTTGGATGCCCTAACTGAAACTTATTCTCCTTGAAAACAAATAACCACAATAAATGAGTGAAAAGGACAACTTTTTCATTACTTTACTGGACAAAACAATTTATAATTGATGGTCAATGCTGATATTATTTATTTGTTAGAAATGATTTCATAATCAATAAATACGTATTGTTGGATATATAGTTTCTACACGCAATATGTTTTAATAGATTTCGTCGCGATACAAACATGCATATATTCTATTAGTTTCGACTAATTAACTTTAATTAATTGAATCCTTATTATGCTTCATAATTTAAGTCAGTAATTACACTGCAATTAATATTAACTTTATATTCCAATAATATATTACGAAATAATGTATGTTCTCTGACAAACATGTTACGATTTGTAAACGAAATAATCCAATATAAGTAATTTAATTATATACTTAACATGATCGTTCGTGAATAGATTCGTATAGTCTTTCTGTTTTACTTATATACAGCAATTCGTCATAAACTTGACACTCTAGTTCTATTCTATTGTAAATCAAGCAATTTTCTCTTTTTTTTATAATGTCAAATTACATGTAAGTGGAGCGAAGTGACACAAAATCGATATTTATTTATGATTTTATATCCCATATAACTTCTAAATAAAATCTTGTAAGATATTGTTGATATATACGAATAAAATAACCACAATTATCTGTAATTATTTTATTTCAACATACAAGTATGAAATATTACATAACATATGGTATTTCTATATATTTGATAGTCATTATACATGTACAAATTAACATATGTTCTCCACTAACTTTGTATATATACCGATAAACTATATACCGATAGTATATTTGCTTCTAAGTAAAGATTCTATAGTACAATGATTAGATTACAATCACTAATGTTCGATTCGAAGGTTTACAAAACAAACATTGACGTTAAAATATCACATATTTAAAGCAGAAATTGTTCACTTGAAATTAATAGTAGTAGTAGAAAAAGTCCAATTAAAATATAATTTTTAATTAATTAAGAATCATTATTAACGTTTAAATAAGCGCTGGTTCAATCAAAATAAAGTCTTTTTGGCATTGATATCAGCCAAAAATATGTAAACAGTCTAAGAACACATTGTTGTTGTTGTTATTATTATTGAATAGAAATAAATAAAGACGATATTCAATGATTAAAGTTCACTTACCTGTATGAATACGCGAATGGTTCTTAAGATAGGCGGCTTTGGCGAAAGCCAATCCGCATATATTGCATTTGAAATTCTTCTCTCCTGTGTGCAATCTCTTGTGGCTCCACAGCGAGCTATACCGTGAAAATGAACCGTTGCAGATGTTACAATGAAACGGTTTATCCACGTTATTTTGCTGGTTCTTTGAGCCACCGATAAAAATAATGCCACTACCATTGCACTTGGTACATTTCGTGACAGATGCAATGCCTCTCCGCTTCACTGGATGGTTATTCTTCACTCCAATTGGGATACTATTTTGCGTACCCAAATTGGAGGTGCTCGTTTGCGTACCAGTGGTTTCCTCAAACTTCACCGGATTATCAGCAGGTGTTGTTGCCACCACAAATATTTGAGGTTGAATTGCTTCCGCACTAAGACATGTCTCACATTTGACTTTCATCACAGCCCTCTTCTTATTACTGTCCTGCGGCAGCGGTGCACCGCAGGTCTCGCAATTTTTAATTTTCAACGTGTTCTGTGGCTGCTGCTGCGGCTGATGCTGTTGTGTTTGCTGTTGATGTGTCTGCATACGATGGGACTTTAAATCCGTCTGCGTATTGAATGCAAGACCACATTCCTCACACGAAAATCTGAAAGAATATTTGTGGTTCAGTTGGGTGGTTCTGGTAACGTTATGATGTAGAATTGTGAATTACCTTATTCGATCAGCAGAAACAATTTGTATTTGCTGTGGTTGCTGCTGGACCTGAACAGTGATTTGTTGTGTTTCGGGTTGCTGTTGCTGGGGTTGCTGATGAACTCGTTTGTGATGGTTTAATAATCCTAAATGGGCAAACATAAGGCCACACACTTCACACTTGAAAGTAATATTACCAATATTGCTGATATTGGTTTGGGCCAAAGACATTTGATTAACAAGTGCATAGTTATAACTGAAAGGCTGTGTTATATAACATTTGTCATCAGAGAGTTGAGACATGTTAACAGTTGAATTGTGTGTCTGAGTCGTTGGCTCAATTTTATGTATCATATTAACATTAGCGTAACAGAAGGAAGGAAAAGCTTGTTGCTGTTGTTGCTGCTGTTGTTGTTGTTGCTGTTGCTTATTGTCAGTTGTTTTTTCAGCTTTCTCCTGTTGTTGGGGCTGTTGCTGTTGAGGCTGGCCATACTGGATCTGAGACTGTTGCGTCGTTATAGTGTTGGGGTCAAACATTGTCTAAGATTAAAAGAGGCCCCCCCTGTCAAAACAAAAGAAAGTTGAAAAAACAATTGCATCAAATTGTTGGATGTGCGCGAATTCAAAAGTTTTCTCTTTCTTTCCGCCGGCTACGAGAGCAAGCAAGAAAAACAACAAAGATGCTGATAAAATTGAAATGAAATAAGGATATGCGTTTTAGTGGAACAAACAAAGAGTACCCTAGAGAGAGGTGCGTCTCACTCGCAGCAGAAGCCGCCTCCGAAAGTCACTTGTGGAGTTCAATCCAAAACCCCAGGTTTTCTGTGGGGTTGCAATACTTGCCGGGGCCGCGATAAACGTGAACAAACCAAAGGGAAAACTCGCAGAACGCGCGGAAATTCGCGGAAAACACTTGCGTCTATCTCACTTTAGAAAATGGCCGACTTACATGGCCCTCTTTGTTACCTACATGCGACGCGCTTTTTTCACGGATGGTGGGGGTAGAAGTTTCACGACGGCATTTCGGAACTGCCAACCTAACGCCGCCGAATATTCAAAATTTGAAAAGCGAAAGTGCAATTTCGAATTTCGCTGTCGACCTATGGACAAGAACGAGAAATAAGATCGCGGCTGAATGCTCGATCAACCCTCGACCTCCTCGCCACCGTTCAATTTATAATTCCGATAGGGTTATGGTTTTTGGCATGTTGGTCGCAGTGGGTGAGCTGGGTTGAGAAGGCAAGGCAAACAAAAAAAAACACACACAGTTGCGGGCTTAGTGTGAGTGTGTGTGCGGTTGAGATGTCGGATTTAGGAAGCGGAGATGAAGGGTCCAGTTCTCAGAGTGAGTACAACATTCTCTGGCGCTTTTGCATTTCCATTGGAAAATTTGCGAATTACTGAGACGTTGTTCCCATGGGGGGTCGCTAGAATTTCCTCAATTATGGGTACCCCAATGTTTGACGTTTCTCCACTCTCTATCTCTCTTTCGTATGCTTTGCAGACTATACATGATTAGACAGTGATGGCAAGCAAAAATGGCCGATCCAAAATACTCGTCTTTTTTCACTCTTTTGTTTGGTAGCTTAGACGCGACCTTCAGCCGCATCAAACCCCACCAGTTAATGAAAATAAAATAAGAAAACCAAACCACAAATCGCCTACAACAGATCGTTGTTGTCTACATTATATTTCCATCATGAAGAAAAGACTTTTCTTTATCTACACCAACCCCCCCACCCTCTTAAGCAATGCGTTCCGTATTGTCATAGGCTGCTACTGACGATGACCTTGGCCAATAGTGATTGGGTTGAGAATCTGCTAGCTGCTGCTGCTGTCATTTATCCTTTCTATCCTGCAGCACTTTTGTGTCAGAAATATTCTTAATCAATGTAGCACAAAGTGTAAATTCACTATCAAAACAGTTTTTTCTTTTTTTACTTTTAAATTCTTTTCTTTCGAGGGATAGTAGGGAAAGTACTCGAATAATGACGGAATCCAATTAACATTTCTGTTGTTTCACAGAATACCAGCAGGGAATGGATCAGGGGAATGCAGATTATGACCCAGGTGAGCTGCAATTCACTGATTTCTCGCTAACAGAAACACGATTCTATCGTATAATTGCAATTCACTCGCGAATCTTATCCCTACTAACTTCATTTGCTCCAAAATTACAATAAATTCCCCAACTCATCTGTTTATTTTCCTACAGACATACTTGGTCTAGTATGTATATGCGTCACCTGTTTCTATATTGTCAATATTGTAGGCAACTCAAACTACATTCAATTCCAATTGGAATGTCAAAATTACCTATCTTGTTCATACATGGTGCTTTCTATTACCATTATAATAACCTTTCCCAACTCAATAGGATTTGTCTATTCTAAAGGTTTGTTAGTGCAATCAGTGAAATGTATACACATTGGTCCAATAAAATCATATTAGGTAAATTTGTTTGTTTATCTCCATTGTTTCTATAATTTTTAGGTTAGCTAAATGTATAAACCAATAATTTCTACTTATATTCATAAATATTATATAAATTTAGCATTTAGCAACTTATTACTATAATACTATTGTGTATACAATATAAAATCTTATGTATAAAGAGTGGAGAACAACATTTTTTTGTAATAAAAAACTCATTATTGAGGAAATTCAAGTCACAACTGTTTCTAGTATATAGTTAGATGTAAGCAGATATATAATTTCGTGAAACATTGTGGTCTTAGTATTTGTTTACAATATATTACAAAATAAAGACGATTTTATACAGTAAAATAGATAATTTTAAATAATATATATATTTTACAATATAGATTTTCCTTCAACTAATAATTACTATAGTCTGAGCTTCTTTTTCAAACTGATATATGTGTCAATAATTGATGAATAATTATATACTTATTGATCATGTTTACAATACCAATTTAATTTGAGTATGCAATTATTTTAACCATCACGTTATAAGTAGGTCAGTGGTCTTGAACTTGAGGCTGCTGCAGAAAACGTTATATAGGAAATCATGTACTGCGATCGTACAAGCGTTAAAAGCTTTGTTTAAATAAATGTCAATTACCGGTGACCTTAACTTTGAATACAATTCCTCGGTTATCTCAACATTAAGAACATGTACTTTTTTGTAATAGTTATTGTATTATTTTTTATTATAAATATATTATGTAATGATTATGGTGGATTTGTATATAATCTTTGCAAATTTAATTAAACAATTTGTCTTATAAATACATAATGTGTTTAAATGACGAAATATTAACGTGATACTTATTCGCTTATAATATTAACAATAATTTTTTAGCCATATAATAGAACATAACATAAATTTGATGTAAATAAAAAATAAAATGAAAATAATTATAAAAATTCCATAATAAAGGAGTTTATTTTTGATTTATTTTCAATTTTTTCTAGAAAATTTAATTTTGTATTTTATATATATTAAATATATGGCTAATAAATTATTGTTATTATCATAAGCGAATATGTTAAAATTTTATTTTAAAGTGTCAGTCGCCGAGTTGTCGCGTATCCTTTTAAATTGGCGTAGACAGTACATTTTTTTTTGTCGATTTTTAGATATTCTGCTAATTGCTCGTGGTTTTGAATTTGGTGATTCCTATATCTATTTATAATAGTTGAAATTTATTTTACTTTCTAGCTCAGCAGGGACAGATGGAACAGGAGTTGGCGACGAAGATGCTGCAGATACAGAGCAAAAGGTTCTATTTGGACGTGAAGCAGAATAGACGGGGGAGGTTTATTAAGGTGGCCGAGGTAATAATAAAAAACAAACAAAAAAAGCCGAAACAAAATAGTATTGGGGTTTGGGAGCTCTAAAGGGTGTAAAATGTGGGTTTAGATTGGGGCTGATGGTAGGCGGTCACAAATTTTCTTGGCGCTGACGACGGCCGGCGAGTTCCGGGACCATTTGAACGCGTTCAGCGATTTCTACTCGTCCCTGGGACCACCAAATCCCGACACTGTGCCCGACGATGGAAAGCTGAAGAGTGAAATGATGCTGAAAGAGAACAGGCGCTACTATTTGGACCTGAAGGAAAACTCCAGGGGACGGTTTCTGAGGGTATCGCAGACCATAACGCGCGGCGGTCCTCGCTCCCAGATCGCGATTCCCGCGCAGGGGATGATCGAGTTCAGGGACGCTCTGACCGATCTGCTGGAGGAGTTCAACTGCGACGATCATACTTACAAACCCGACCTGCCAGACGGTCGGCATCTCCATGTGGACAACAAGAATTTTTACTTCGACGTAGGCCAGAACAATCGCGGCGTTTACATGCGTATTAGCGAAGTGAAATCCAATTTTCGCACGTCGATCACCGTGCCCGAGAAAAGCTGGCACCGGTTCCGCGATATTCTCGCCGAGTACTGCGACAAAGCGAGACCACCGATCCATGATCAACCGGTGGTGAGTAGAAAAATACTTGTGAGATAAAGAAAAACCTTTGCTTTCTGAGTGGCAGCCAGTAGTTTTAGGGCAATGGTACTATCCGCGGCCAGCAGCAATACACGGGACCCAAATAAGAAGGAGGGTCCCAGGCAGCAACGACGGCGCCGTTGGTGGTGGCGGCGGCGGCAACGGCAACTCTCCCACTCAGAGCCCTTCTTACAACCAATTGTGATTAGATCTTTAAATTATTTTTTTAATTATATGTTACTAGTATCAAAATTTTATAATATTACTACGATCATGATGATGATGACATTTAGAAAGAAAGAGAAGAAGTTGACGGAAATAATGCGAGCTGGCGGGGACCGCACCCACCAACCCAGGATCGCTTTCAATATTACAACGTTATTATTATCATTTTCTTATTGTTTTCAATACTTCTTTAAACAAAGTTAATTACTGTATTTTCTTGTAGTAGACTGCTAGTCAACGAGGGTGGGCGTGCGTACGCGATTCGATTCTTTATTATTATAATTGTTATATTTGTTGGCCATCATCAATCCAAGTGTACGAGCTCCACTAACTTCAGACTCTCAACCGAAAGAATCGCCCATAAACAAAGTGCCTAAATTACTTTATCCCAGTCATATTTTTAGAATTCTTCACTATTTGAAGGTAATTTTAAAATTTAGTGATAAAACTCGAATCGATCGATCGATTCAACAATTCCCGATACCAGTATTCGAATAATAAGTAGACTCGAATGAAACATCTCACGTACATCTCTATCGAAGTGGACAAAAACCTAATCTTATTTACCGAAATTTCGTTAGCATCGGTATAATTTACGGTACGCCACGATATTTTCTACATTCGAATACTTTTATTGGTGTATAATGAAATTTCGTGATATTTTTAGAATAGTATAGTTTATTAGTATTGTGATCAAGTAAGAAAAATGGAACGTGAATCCCAAGCATCAAAGAAAAGAAAAAGCAATGATGGTGATCAAAAAAAAAATTATATATATATATAAATTAATATAAAGTAGCTCAGGGAAAATAATGAGCAGCGGAACTCGGGCTTTGTTTATCGCCGATTTGTGCTACATTTTCTCTTTGAAAGCGAGTGAAGCTTGTATAATTTTTATGCTTATTGCGAAAGACGGAAGCATTACAGAAACGCGTGCGCCCCCTTCAGCAGGCTTTCGTTAGATCTTTTTAATTAATCGATACACAGATTATAAATTTTATAAATGTTGCTATATTTAACAAAAAAAAACATAAAAACATACAAAAAAAAGATTATAAGAGTAAAAAGATTACAAATCTTTTGTAAATTCGTGGACTTGGAAAAGCGAAAAGTCCAAATGCAGATACAGAGGGAAAAAAGAAAAAAATGTATTATTATTATAATTATTAGTTATGAAATACGCTGAAATGCTGGACATTTTATGAATATATTATATTATATATAAATATATATGAAGAAAGAAAGAAAAAAAATAAGGGAGAAGAAACTATATATATTATATGAAGATGAAGGAAGTAATGAAGCTGTGACACGGCCCCCAAATCCTCTCTAATAAAAAAAAATGCAAAATCTATTTCAAGTGGACTAGAGGAGTTGTCCGTTTGATTCAGATTTTCGGAATAAATGAATGAAATACAAAAAAAAAATAATTACAAGAAAAGAAAACGTAAAGTATATTTAATTAAAAGAAATATCTGCAAATGTATTTTATAGAAGAAACAATTGAAAAAAGTACAAATAACAAATGAGAATGAGTTATTATTTAGACTGTGGAAAAAAAGTTATCGGGGAGATCGCGAGGTGTACAACTTGATGGATGTCCGAACGCCTCGAATCTCAATCTCAGTACCTAAATCGCTACACAGAATAACAAACAGAAAATATAAGCAATGGAGCAGCAGACGAATCAGTTATTAAATAATTGTAATAAGGAATCGAGGAATCCTTGATCTTTTAGGGATTCGCAAGTTTAAATAGAGAGAGAAGAAAAAAATGAAAACAGAAACTAATTGCGAAACCTTCGACGAAGATGATGATGATGAAACAACAGTATTCCCAGTACAAAAAGCTTGAGCCAAAACATGGAATGCATGCATTACGACTGCGGTTTCTGTTTTGATTTTTTTTTAGTTTCTCCCAGATTTACGTTTAGATAAGGCCATGTGTTCTTTATTGATTATTCATTGGTAAAGATTAAGAGGATTATGCAAAAAGAAGGAGTATAAGATAAACCATAGATGTTAAATAAATGAAGAAGAAGAAGAAAAAAAATCATAGGTAGGACATTATTCGGAGTGGACCGGCTTCGCGCGCGCCCTCCTTTCTTGTGGTGTTTTCTTTTTTGTTTGTTAGCAGATTTCTAGTTTTTTTTTTTCGTAAAACGCGTTCACGGAGGAGGAAATATTTATAAAAGATTATATAAAAGAAAACTTGAATATGTACTTTAACTGCCGGATATTGTGAGAAGATTGAATTATATAATGTCATATCGTCGGCAAGAAAAAGTTGAGAGTTACACTTTTTACACACAAAACACATACACGAGACACACACACACTCATTAATTTATATATTATAGTTATGATGATTGTTTTGTTTAATTATTATTTTTTATTGATGAATATTAATTGATTTGTTTTTTGTGAATTCGAGCAATTCAGTTTAAAGAAAGAAATTTTGATTGGAAGGTTGGAACGAAAAAAAAAAAGAATAAAAGATTTTTAAAAGTTTTCCTAATGGCTAATTGGTTTTCTTTTGTTTTTATTTTTTCCTTCTTTTTTTTTGTTTTTGTTATTGTTGTATCGTCCTTTGAATTGTAGTTTTTAGTTAGGGTAAAACTTTAATTATGAGCGAAGAAGAAGAAGTGAATTGTGAATATATATATATAAACAAATTAGCAATAACTCAAATGTCAAGTCATGCCAAGAAATATGAGGTCTTACATTTAATGAAAAAGAATAAAAAAAATAGATTTTTATTGCGATCAAAGATTACTACTACTACTGTTATGTTATTGTTTCTTTGTTTGTTTTGGTGTACATGTTGATTGATATGTTTGTTATTTATATATAAAAAATAATATGAAATATTTCTCTTCTATAAAAATATATATATACATTTATTTTCGTAATTCAAATTTTATTTTCTCGGCCCGGTGAGTTTTTTGTTTTGTTATTGCTTTCCTAATTGGTAGCAAGCAATCAAAAGAGGAAGAAAATTGAAATCCTTCACTGGAAAAACAGAAATTTTGATCCTTCATTTGGATTTGCAGTGGACTGGAAGCCATTACGATTTGTTTGTCTGTTCGTTTTATAAATATGAATAAAGTATTTTCCGAAATATTCACACCTTTGTTATACTACTGCCACTACCTTCTGATTTCGTACTGATTTGTATAAGAATAATAGTTTAAAATTTGATTAAGGCTACTAAGGATAACTACTATTAGCCTATAGATCATAGAATTATCTAATTAAAGTAAAAACTATGGTCTATTAACTTTAACAGTTCGGGCTAATCAGCAATTTTAATTACTTTTAATCAATTTATTTACAAATTTAATTAAATGAAGTAAAAGTATCATTATTTTTTCTCTTAATTTGTTCTTGAGATTCAAATATAAATATTTTGAATTGAATGTTGGTAGCGCGTACCTGACACGCGATCATGAAAGCAAGCAGCATACGTCAAAGTCGAAATCGTTTTGACAGTTGTCGACAGTTCTGTTACTGTTTATTAAAACAGTACGAAAACAATGGAAGTTTTGAATTAAATAATCTATTAAGATGGCCAGGATACGGTGGTTCACGCGTACATCGCGGATAATCGCGTTATGCAGCGCTGCGAATTTCATAAACAGTGCGGACAGAGTCATAATGCCAATTGCCATAGTTCCGATGACCGAAATCTTCGGTTGGTCTCTGCACGAACAGGGATGGATTCTATCCGCGCTCGCATGCGGTTACTTGAGTAGCCAAATCATCGGAAGTCTCTACCTGCCGTCCATCGGGGTTAAGAACATGCTGGTCAGTAGTGTACTGCTTTGGAGCATTGCCACAATCATAACACCTCTGGTCTCGTCCAGTATTGCCGCATTGATTGTGTGCAGAATCATATTGGGATTTGCTGAGGGCTTGGGACTGCCAACTATATTCCACCTGTTTGCAAACAGCATCCCAACTGAGGGAAGATCAAGAGCTTTTGGGTACTTGATTGCAGCAGGTTCAGTTGGGCAAACTGTAGCTTCTGTTGTAAGAATACTATTGTGAATATGTTCTATATTTCCATTATTAATGTTTTTTTTTATTTGCAGTTTACTCCACATATGCATTGGGCAAATACATTTTACATCTTTGGAGGTATTGGACTGCTGTGGGTTGTCATGTGGTTATCCTTCTACCCTGACAGGCCATTGGGTGATGTAGATCAGTACATTCCTATGCATGAAACACAGCCAAATGTGATGTCTTTCAAAGGTCACTTGCTCAAGAAACTGTTCTGCAGGAGAGCCCTGTGGGCATTGTATGTTGCCCATTTTGCAATGAACTGGGCCTCGTACATCGTGATGCAATGGTTGCCAACGTATTTATCAAGAACTTTGGGCGCTGACGCCCACTCGCTAAGTTTAACTGCAGTTCCGCACATTCTCAATTCAATATGCGGAGTGATCAGCGGTCATTTAGCCGATTCTTTGCTCCTGCACAAGTCTTGGAGCGTCCTAAACGTGAGACGCTTGATGACGAGCATCGGATTGGTCGGTCCGGCGCTTTTCCTATCGATCTTCTGCGTCGTCGACGAGCGTTTCTTGGCCATCGTTTTCATTTCAGTTTCGATGGGTCTGAGCGCATGCAACTATGCCGGTCACCTGAGTAATCACGTCGACGTAGCACCGAACCATTCGGGCATTACATTTGCTATCAGCAACACAATAGCCACCATTCCTGGTGTGATTTGTGGCCCATTAACTGCGCACCTCGTTACATCCTCCAGCTGGGTCATGGTCTACCTGATCTCCACAGCAATCAATTTACTAGGCGCATTGTTTTACTTCACAAACTGCGCCGCGAATCAAGTCATCTAGAAACCCTAAGATTGTAAAGCATTTATTTATTGCCCGTTATTTTCTGTATATATATATTGGATTAATTAAAAAAAAACAAATAAACAATATTCAAAATAGTTTTGTGGGATTTACTTTCAATGTTAGGGACATTTTGCTTTTACGGTTGACGATGTTTTCCAGTCAGTCATGTTGCAGGTGATGATCTTACTGGTGGCGCCAATTTGACAGTTCATGTGTCTGCGGTCCTGTCAAGTTTGCACCGACGTCCGAAACATAAATTCCAATTTGCCTATTTAAATGCACGGCAAGATGTTGGCAGTTTGTTGATTCGAACTAGAATTACGTTTGTCGCATGACTTGATTTAATTAAATTCGATTAAGACACGATGGACACACGGGGAAGGAAACTATCGTCAGTATTTTTGAGCCAGTGTTATCATTGGTGATTCATTCTTTAATCTAACGAATTAACGTTTTTTCTTTCTTTCTTTTTTTTTGGCGCAGCACCCAAGGGGAATCCCTGTACGAGATCCTGGCTCTGCCCAAAACCGCCACAGCTGAAGAAATCAAGAAGACGTACAGACGTTTAGCCCTCAAGTTCCATCCGGATAAGAATCCGAACAATCCAGAAGCCGCCGACAAATTCAAGGAGGTGAACAGGGCGCATTCGATCCTCAGCGATGCAACCAAACGGAATATTTACGATAATTACGGCTCGTTGGGTCTGTACATCGCGGAACAGTTTGGCGAGGAAAATGTCAATGCCTACTTTGTTGTCACGTCCACTTGGTGCAAGGTATACATACACTCCCTCTCAATGTTATTGTAACAGTTTGTATAGTAACTAATCTAAGGTCAAATGTATCAAAAACTAATCTACAAATTGAAAAAGGTCAAAATCCAGTTGCAGGAACCATGCCAGACAATCTTAACCCAACTATTTTATTTGCGTACACACAAACTTGTCCTTGCAAAGTAATTGAGGCTCTAGTACTATTCCATTTCTTAATTCTTATCTTTTTCTGTCCACAGGCACTGTTCGTGTTTTGCGGAATCATAACAGGCTGTTACTGCTGCTGTTGCATGTGCTGCTGCTGCAACTTTTGCTGTGGCAAGTGCAAACCCAGACATCCGGAGGACAGTGGTGATTATCACAATCTAAATGTAAGTTTAATGTAATTTAAAAAAAAAGAAGACAAACTGATTGTTAGTTAAGACTTGGGGTAGTTGCTTTTCCTATATTTTGTTTTGAAGCCCTACAGCTTGATTCAATTAAGGTAACTATACAACAACAACAACAGTCATATTGAATCATTGCATCCTTATGCTTTGTTTTATTTATTTATTTTTTTCACTCCCAGTCTTTTGTTTGTTTATTATTGTTTTGTCCCCTTATTTGGTTTCATTTATTTTTTGGTAGCAATAAGGATCTTTTGTTTATATGATTTTGCAGCGTGAGAATGCCGAAGGTGGATCAGGGCAACCGATCACGCAACAGCCCCACAAATTGGTGAGCATAGAACATTTTGCACTGAACTATAGTTTTATTTTTTCGGGATGGGTTTGTTTACATTGTGTTTGTAGATGCTTATTTTTGTATTTGGTGTAGGAGTTGATTTTATTATTTTGGGTGTGTTCTCGTTTGCTTGCAGGAGGATGGAAGTGACGAGGATTTCGTCGGACTGGCGGAGGGAAGTCCTCCAGTGACCTCGCAACCATCTCCGAGCAGGAATGCGCAACCCGTGTTCGCAATGCCCGCTCCACCATCCGCGAATAACGAAAGTGCCGCTCTGAATCAAGGTGATCATCCTGTCTATACACCTGGTGATTGTTCTTCATTTCATCGTTTACTTCGATTGTAATTGATGTTTTCTCTATTTATTTTTTTAGGGATGACCGGCGGAACGTCGACACAAAGCAGCTGGTAGTTATTTTTAAGTTTTTTTTTTGTCTCCACTATATATTAATAAAACGAAGGAAAGATTTAAAAAGAAAAAAAAAGAAAAATCATCCGTCTTGTTTCTATTGATGATATATGAAACTAAAACTAACGTTGTTTAAACGAGGAGAGAAAAGAAACAAAACATATTTGCGGCACGTAAAATTAATAATCGAGAATTTCCCTTTTTTTCATCTATTCTATATTTTTGTTTCGTTCTAAAATTTGAAAACGCAAATCAAGACAACTTTTTTTAGTATTTGTTTTTTTTTAATTTCTATTTCTTTACTAATTTTTATGATTAATTATGTACGTATCAAAACAAAAAGTAAATAATAGGAAAATGTCTAACGAAAAAGAAGGTCAGTCAGTATTGATGTGGAGAAAATTACAAACTGGATGTAGTGTTCAGTGTTGTCGTTTTTGTTTTTATCTTCTGTTCAAAGTTTATTTATATCCGATACATTTGTATATTCTATTGTCGATTATTTCTTTTCTACGTTACGTTACGTATATATATATATTTAAATAATTATCCATAGCTATCTAAGTATCTGTATTCCAAATATGCACCATTGAAACGTTTATTATTATTATTTTTGTTGTTTTTGTGGAAAGTAAATATATGTGTATGTATGTATTAAAGAAACTTCGATTGATGTCACTAAAAGAAAGGTAAATCAAATTGTATACATTTCAAAGAAACTATAACAAACAAAGCAAACAAAAAAAAGAATTATATATATAAACAATAAATTTAAGGACAGTAATATGTTAAAATAATGACTTGTAGATTATTCAATAAAGCAAACTTGCATTTAAAGTTTTATATTTTGCTGTCACTTGCTGATTTTGTTTTCAATATGACAAGAAAACAATTTATAGGTTGCTATGATCTATTAAAATATGTATTTTTGCTTATATTAAGTACGCACATTATAATGTGACTTAAAATGATAATGATTTCAATGCAGAAATATGCGATGACTCACATTAGTAAGAGTGAAAAACGTGCGACAATTAATATTAGAAAGTTTTAGACTGAGAAAGTTAATTTGGAATTAACTGTTCTATATCAAAATGTTGTATTTTAATGTCCTATTATTAATTACAACCAGTAATTCATAATTTACTAATCTACATGATAAATTGTAAAGAGATAAAACTAATCATTAAATTGGTTAGATTGCATTAACTATTTGTATTGAAATTACTTGTTAAATAATTTACAATTTGCTTAATGCTAGTAAACTAGATAATTATGTAATTTATTGAAAGTGAAAAAAGGTTGAGAAGCACTGTTTTACTGTAAGTGTGCAGGGATTTTCGTTGCAGATGTCTGTACAGTTGGTGGCACTGGCAGACATCAGCAGCAGTGGTGGTATGTGTCAAACGTGCGTCAAGTCAAGTATTACTGGTGGGGGCATAAAATAATAGAGCGATTTTCAATGGCGCAACCAGTCAATAGTAAATATTTTTTGGGTTTTTGTTGAGTGCGTTTTGTGAGGGCGAAAAATGTGGTGGTCGTCTCTAAAACAGTGAAAAGAGTGAGAAGGGGTGGTGCGAAGTTTCGAACGAAAGCTAGATTGTTTTTGTGATCGGAGGATATACGCGTGAAGGAGACGACGACAAGATGAAGAACAAAAAGTCGTCGAAGCGTATGGCCGGTATGATAATACGTTCGCGAAAATCAATTTCCAAGGACGCCGTTGTCACCGTAAGTGTACACTTCCCCACTCAAAGCGACTGCGAAGCGACGTTCATTAATTGCCCGTCGTGGCCCGATTAAAAATAAACAACATCTTCTAAATTTATTTTATTTTTATGTTTTCATTTTTTTTCCTCTCTGATCTGGGGGGGCCGTAAATAAAATTTAACTCTCTTCCGTTGCACAATCGCAGCGCAAAAAATACTCTAAAATGGACTCTTCCCGTTTCGAAACGTTTAAAAATCCAAGTGCGCCCTTTATTTGTCGTTTGCCTCCTCTTCAAATTAATCCCTCAAACAGATAACAATACACACACACATTATTAATTCCAAGGTTAATTACATGTAACACTTTCCTTTTGGTTCATTAAAAACAAAAAATGTGCATGATCGTTGCTTATTATGTGGCCCGTAGGTACTTTCGCGTTTTATCTTGCAAACTGAAACTTCGTTTCTTCTATTCTGTATGTAACAAAGTATACAATAATAATAATAGTTTCAGTATATGTGTTTTTGTTTTCAAACGTTTTTCTTTTGTTTGTTACAGACTAGTGGGATAGGTATGCCCAGCCTGTACCATGCATTGGTCGTCATCTTCCTTGAATTCTTTGCCTGGGGTCTGCTCACGATGCCTGTCATATCTGTCCTGAACACGACATTCCCAGATCACACTTTCCTAATGAACGGCCTCATCATGGGTATCAAAGGCATCCTGAGTTTCCTGAGCGCTCCCCTCGTCGGAGCACTGTCCGACGTATGCGGACGAAAATTATTTCTTTTGATAACAGTTTTCTTCACCTGCCTACCAATTCCTTTGATGACCATAAACACCTTTTGGTTTTTCGCGATGATCTCGATCTCTGGAGTGTTCGCCGTCACGTTCAGCGTGGTTTTCGCTTACGTGGCCGACGTCACCGAGGAGAAGGAACGCAGCTTTGCCTACGGCTTGGTGAGTGCCACCTTTGCAGCTAGTATGGTCATATCGCCAGCGCTCGGAGCCTACTTGATGGAACGATTCTCCATGAACGTGGTCGTTGCTTTGGCGACCGCCGTTGCTATTCTAGATGTTTTCTTCATTCTTGTCGCGGTGCCCGAAAGCTTGCCAGAAAAGGTACGGTTTTTCTATCCTGTGTTTTCGGATTGGAACTCACCATTTTCACGATTTATTTAGGTACGTGTTTCTCCGATAAGCTGGGAACAGGCCGATCCTTTTGCATCGCTGCGCAACGTCGGAGGAGATGCAACTATCCTTCTGCTTTGCATTGCCGTTTTCTTGTCCTATCTACCCGAAGCCGGCCAATACAGCTGTATCTTTGTCTATTTGAAACTCGTGATTGGGTGGAGCGCCCCCATGGTTGCCGTCTTTGTCGGATTAGTGGGGCTGCTAGCGGTCCTCGCGCAACTATGCCTGGGGGCTTTGATGAAAAACTTGGGTTGTAAGCACACCATCATGTTGGGGCTACTCTTCGAGATGCTGCAGCTATTGTGGTACGGTTTCGGTACGACCACCTGGATGATGTGGGCCGCTGGTATGTTAGCCAGCATGTCTTCGATCACCTACCCCGCGATCTCCGCATTCGTATCCATCCATAGCACTGCTGATCGGCAGGGTGTCGTGCAAGGCATAGTCACCGGAATGCGAGGTCTGTGCAACGGTCTCGGACCTGCGATGTTCGGTCTCATCTTCTACATGTTTCACGTGGACCTAACCGGTGAGGAAGGTACAGATGCAACTCATTCGACCGATATGCATCATGACAATGACACGCAGGTTAGTAATAGTTTTACATCACAAATTAATTCTTGATTTTTTGAAACATTTAAATATTTGTCTGTTCTCTTCGCCAGACGCCAGTAATCGTGTTTATTTACATCTTAAATATTATAATTTATGAATTCTTCAGTAGCTTATGTTATAAATATAAATAGTCTGAATTGCCCCTTTAGTAAACAGTTGTAACAAAAGCATATTTATGATGCGGATGAAATATAAAAATTAATATTTATTTTAACACACTCGAAAACATATCTCAAGCAAAAAATAATATTATTTATTCATTAAGTTACATCACATTAAAAAAAATCTTTCTAAAAGTGATATTTCTAAAGATGAACTTTCTAATTATATTTTGTCTTATGCAGCGTTGTTACGTGTTTTATAAATAATTTATAACGAAATTGTTATGCATTTGTTAAATGTTGATTTATCCGGAAAGTTCGGGTCTATTTTCACTTTCGGAATTATTAAGAACAAATTAACTTGTGTACATGTCCTGAAAGATGACATTTTTTTAGAAAAAGGTTCGGTTCGGATCAAATGATTTGTGTCAGTTTAGTAGTCTTGAAGATGAAAGAAAACAAAGCGCATTTTATATTTTTGAACACACTAAACATCTGCTAGTAATAATGATGAAATCAAGAAATTGTTCATGAATAACTCGCTCTACACGAGACGTGAATTAGCAGAATATTAAGAATATAAAATACAACGAACGTTTTTTCTTTAAGCTTGGCTTATACGATGTTTTGCACAATTTAACTGACAAAAAAAAATCACGACAATTCCAGTTCTCATATTATCGCACAAAATTGTTGGAGTTAGCTTGAGTTGTATTATCAATTAACTGAACCACCTGAAAAAGTTTTTTGACGAAAAACCTTATAAATTCTGGGAGGATGGAAAGTTTAAGTTGCGTGAAAGATGAAGAATGGTGTTCAGATCAAAATTCTGTATAAATAATTAAAAATGTATATATTAATATATAAAAGTATATGCTACGTCACGTTTTTCGATTGCAGATAAAGTTGATAATCGGGAAAAAATGCTGATTTTGCTGATTGTAATCATCTCACGCTATGTAATATTATTACATAGTCAGCTGTAAAGTATCATATATACGGGATGAAGCTGAAACAGCTTTGTTGACTGAAATTCAATGAATTCCATCAAAGGCATAATTTAAAGTTAGAGCAGATCATGATCGTTTTAACAGTTACCGATGACGAAATCTAACTGATTCACTAAAGTGTTTTATGTATTTTGTGTTACTAAAATAAGGATGTGTGTTTCGCTTAAAAGATAAGACTAAATTAAAAAAAAAACAATGTTACGAAATAGATAGATTGCATTAGAAATGAGTACACATTTGGCTGACAAAAAAATAAGGTTGATTTAGGAGCGTTAAGATGAGAAATCTAGGAAATGTATTTATAGACATGATCGTTTTACCAATATAGGAAAATTGGTGAAGCCTGAGAGACTCCTTATGCTTCACGTGTGCAGTGCGCGTCTAATCACTAAAGTGTAATTCGTTTGCAGCATGGGCGTAATTATGATTATACTCAAGGTCGTGATTATATTAACGGCTATTTTTAATATTTTGAAAATCACCAGGGCGTAATTGCTAATTGGTTCCAATTGATTAGTACATTTTCTTAATTACAGTATGAATTTATTTATGTTTTCCATCTGATTTTTAACAATTAGTCTTAGTATAATGAATTGACGATAAAAAAAACTTGTTAACAGAGTAAAATTCAATTCTCGGATTCGAAATATTTTGTGTATTTATTATGTTATTGATGTTAATTCGTTGTTGTTTTCGTATTTTTTAGAGCCAATACAATATGCTGCAGTTAGTGCCAGGACCGCCGTTCGTGTTCGGTGCATTCTTGGTAGTGTGCGCCCTCATCGTCGCTTCGTTCATTCCAACCAAGACCCAATCGGAGACCGGGATTCCCTTGGACACGCACTACGAGTTGGAACGTGGTGGCCACAAGGTCTCCTCCCCGCTGTCGCCACTGATCCCCTCATCCAGGGACTGTGCAGCCGTCCTCTAAACTAATAACTTGGGATTACATAAGTTTTAATTGTACAAAACAAAAAACAAAACAAACGAGAGCGATTGCATTTAGTAATTCGATGATTACCTAGTTGCTACATGCAGTGATTGATTTCAAATTCGTATTAAGTGTGAATGTGATAAATCGAGGGTCAGTCCAGCCAGCGTTTTTTTAATTTAAATATATCCTTTCCATTTACTTTTTTTTGTTTTGAGCTAGGAAAGAATATTACACTATTATTAGTATGTAAACATCATTTATTTTTTTTTAATTTACTTTCCTCTTGACGCACTTCAAATCTCAATTTCTCAGGTGACAGAAAGACTTTGTTTCTTTGATTAAATGTTTATTTTATTAATTTTTTTTAATTGTTGATAAATATGTAATTGTGCCCCCCCGAGCGTACTTGAGAGTGAGTGAGCCAGAGAAAAACTACTACTACTATGCAAGGTGAAAAGAAAAAGAGAGTTATATAAACAAAAATGTCAATTTTCAATCGATGGATGTCATTTGGTTTCTTTTAAATAGTTAAAAAAAAACGCTGCCTGTTTTCTATTATTATTACTTCTTCTTTTTAATTTATTATTATATCTTCTTTTTTTTGTTTCTCCTTCTTTCTTTTTTTGTACATACATAATAAATTTGCGCTTGATTTTTTCTTTATGATTTCTTAAATGGCAGTTGTTATTTACAAATTGTATAGAGATTGAGTATATGAATATGATATAAATATATTTTGATTAACTGTTGAATGTGGTTGTAACAGGGGAAAGTTTGTAGGCCTCCTCCAGCCCAATATTTTTAATTTTTCATATTATGTGAGAGAAGGAAGTTAAAAAACGATGAGAGTAAAGAAAAAGGCAAAAAAAAGATAAAACTGTTTCCGTAGCGATTTACCGCATTAAGATGTAAATTATTAAAAACAATTTATATATATATATTATATATATAAACTAATGCATATTATTGTTTCAACAATAAACGAGCAGTCGTAAGAAAATTCACATTTCGAATTTTACAAATTGCGATTTTTTTTTCTCGGCTTCACCTGTTATTCCCCTTTTCAACATAATTAATGCTGAATTTAAGCAGATAAAGTGATATTCCTCAATTGTATCTCTACGAATGTGCATTGTTCATAATCTTTATACATGTTGAGTGAAATTAAATCAGAAATGTAAATTTTTTAAATTTATTATTACAAAAGAAGGGAGAAGGGAACAAAAAGTAACTTATATTTTCTAAAATCTTATTCACTGTCCGGGTCCGCTCAATGATTTATCCATGAACTTCTTTTTGGAGAAACACAACCACCATTTGCTGGGTTTCCCATCTTCCCCAAAGACTTTATCGCAAATCCTCAAACCAATTTCCTGTCTCAACTGGGTCAGATAAGTTCTGAAAAATTCTATAACAAAACCAATTGATTCTATAACAAAAAAGTAATTGATTTCATGATAACTTACCAGCTTCAGAAGCAGTCTCAGGCTTTCCATACACAGAGTTCAATGGAAACCCAGCATCTCCTGGTATATCGAAGCGAGAAATTGCCAAGGAATACATTTCATTTTGACCTTGCGACTTGGTTGCAGACTTCTGCAATTTCTTCAAGCACTCAGTGATGTACAGTGTAATGTAGATCAGTAGTCTATCAGTTTCGGATTTGATTTCGTACGTGCGAAAGAACACGTTAGCTTTAAAGTAATATATGGATTCATCAATTATATCCTGGGTGTCCTGTGGCAAACACTGTGGGGCTGGACCCCTGAACTGGGTGCGAAACGGTAAAATCGCTGTGTTTCCGATCGATTGTTGGTATTCAAACGAACTGGAGTGATAGGCCTACATCATACATATTTATTAATTATTAATAATTTTGAATTTGCATTAGAACTAAATAATACTTACAGGCATTTTGGTGTTTTGATGAATCAACTTTGGTTATCTCTGGTCAACGCCTCGATTCTCAATTATGCAACCCAACTGACAAATACAAAATATACCAGGTGAACATCAAAAAAAATTTTTTTTTTCAAACTTTCTGTCGACTTATTGGATTTCTTTTACCAGAACGTTCACTGAAATTATCAAAAGCATTCAGTATTTTAGTTGTGTAATACGAGCATTGAAAGAAAGCAATTTAGAGAAAATAAATGAACGACTATAAAAAAAAGTTTAGAAATTGCTTTGAATTTTATAAGTTACTTAAGTTTAGCAATTAGTAAATTCATAAAGCATTGAGCATTAACATTAAGATTCCAAATTGATCAAACGTTCACCTGTGCGTATGTGAACCTGTATTGATTATGTATATATATATATATTTATGAAGAAAATGCCGGTAAGTGCGTGAACTGTGATGTCATGTCGGTCCAATGTCAATATCAAAAAATTGCAGAGACGTCAAAACAATAATAATAATGGTGTTGAATAAGGATAGCGTTTGTTGAATTTTTGAATTGGATCGTGTTCGAAAGTGTGCGATGGCAGGAGCTGCGGAAACGTCGTCCTTATTGGTGGCGGCTGAGGGAGGCGGCGATGGTCCGTGGCTCGAGTTCTGCGATCGGCATGCACAGGCAGCGGCACAAGACTTTTCCAGAAGCTGCGTTCAATACATCTCGATGAATCTGCCGGAGAACGCGAGGGCATCGCTCACTCACGCCGACTTTCTCAACAAATTCGTCGAGAGTTTCACGAGACACTTCGAGCTCGACTTCTGTAAGCGCCGCCTCCAGTCGCAGAGGATCTCCTCGAATGGGGCGCGCCACCATGGAGACGATCTTAGCGACAATACCTCCGACAACGAGGACGGATCGCCTAAGATGCAGCACAAGCCATTCTTCAGACGGTAACAAAATTTTTAAATTTTCCCGCCACAACTGTACAATGTACTATTCTATATTTCACCTAAAAAAATGTCTTCTCTGTGAGCGCAGCCTCAGCTTCAAAGTGTTGCGCAAAGGCAAGGAGCTCTTCCACAAGCAGCATTCGGACGAGGTCGAGTTAGCGTCGAGCCGAACGAAATTGGCCAAGATCGTCGTCGAGTGTCGGAAAGAAGGGATCGTGAATTACTCCACCCCCGAGAGCTTGGACCAACCCATCGGACCGCCCAAGTGGGAGCGATGCCGATTGGCGCTCGTCAAAGCGGTGGGCGGATACATGTTGGAATTTTACACACCTCCGAAAAGCACAAAAGTAATTATATTATTAAAATAATAAAATTTAACATTTTCATCTAATTTTAAATATTTAGAAATATAAACTGATTTTTCAATATTTATTTTAATTTTATATATTTTGTTTCAATTTGTTTGCAGCCAAGAAGTGGTGTGTTTTGTGCGTTAATAACGGAGGCTAGAGAAACAACAGCGCTGGAGATGCCCGATCATGAGAACACATTTGTCTTGAAGGCCAACAACAACATGGAATTTGTCATCGAAGCTCACGACACGGACGACATGCGTTCTTGGCTTGCAACCATAAAATACTGTATGAGATCGGTGCCTGGTTCCGAGTCAGGTGGTTTTTCTGAACTGGGAAAGCAGGATTATCACCATGGAGATGCTCCAGAGCTACCACCTCGGCACACTGGGGGTGGTAGGATTGGTGACAGACTCTCATCGAGCAGTAACTTTGAACTCTGCACAAACACGTCTGATGCAAACGGAGGTTTTTATATGACTGTCATTACTACACTACGATAACAAAATTAATGCAGTAAAATTGTAAATGTATTTCAGTTGAAGCAGATATTGGGCAAACGCTGAAGAAGGAGTTCTGGTTTCACGGAACTTTGGGAAGATCAGAGGCTGCTCAATTAGTTCTGCACGATGGAGCTTCCGGTCATGGATTGTTCTTGGTTCGGCAGAGTGAAACGCGAACCGGCGAGTTTGTGCTCACTTTTAATTTCCAAGTAAGAGATAAGAAGTTTATAAGAAAAATAGAAGAGAACTGCAAAATATGAATTTTAGGGACGCGCCAAGCATCTTCGAATGACTATAAACGACCAGGGCCAATGCCGTGTGCAGCATTTTTGGTTTCACACCATTTACGAGATGTTGGAGAAGTTTCGGCAATCGCCAATCCCATTGGAAAGCGGCGGCAGTTCGGACGTGACGCTGACCGACTTCGTGGTGAATCCGAACGCGAGAAGCGGTCACGCCAGGATACCGCTGGGCTTACCACCAGGAGGAGGAGCAGGATCGAGCAACGGGGAGAGGCGCGCACCTCCAGTGCCAGAGACGCAACATGTGAGATGAAATCCCAACACACACAAAAAAAGAGTTTAGATATGGAGACTTTAATTTCGTTTTCTTTTACGTTGGTTGTTTTTTTATTTTTTCTTTCGTTTTATTTTTATTTTCATTAATTGATTTAACACAGCATGGCTCGAAGTTATGTTTACAAAAAAAAGAAACACTCCCTCTGTGCGTTGACTCCTCCCACCCAAAACAAACAAAAAAAAAACACGAAGCAAAACGAAAAGAAACGAATCTTGTACATATATTTATTATTTAAAACAAAAAACAAAACAAAAAAATAATGAAACAAAAACAGACTGCTTCTGAAATCCTCCTCCTCCGAAACCCACTACTTCTAAATAACTTAATTTATTTATTTATTTGTAAATAATAAATAAATAAAAAAGTGTGTAACTGTATTTATTTTATTCACGTCTTTTCTTCTATTTGTTTCAACACCCTGACTGACCTTTATGTTCTGTTGTACATCGTCTGGGAATTTTAATTAATTTAATTTTCTGTATTCATTTTTGTTGTTGTTGCTGTTAGCGCTTTCGTTGTTGAATCTGGTTGTTGTTTGTTTGTTTCGCAGGTATATACTGAGTATTATAGCAAATTAGAAGCAAATATGTTTGTTTCTAAATTTCAGGTGCAAACTCACTCGGGCAGTATTCGAACGCAGGAAACGACACTGGAGCAAATCACAGAAGTGTCGAACAGGGCCGTCGATAATCAGTACAGCTTTGTATGATGGTCACTGAATCGGACACAGCCGAAACCGAACAAAAAGTAATTAACAGGGTTTTTTCCATTATATTTTTAATTTGTATGTTGTATAAAAAAAAGTAAGTTTTTCTTTCACTCGAAAATTACGAGGAAGGAAACAAATTGTAAGTATTTTAGCACAATAATCGTTAATAGTTTTTTCATCACGAAATTAACACAGATACATTTTTAATAATTTTTAAATATCTTAATGTTATTTGTATTTTTTTGGTATTTCCATCTATGTAAATTTATATTAACAAAAAAAACTTGATGGAAATAGCAATATCGATTTAAAGAAAAGAAAAATTATTAGAATGTATGAAACTTTTTTCCATGTTGATTGTTAGTGAAGATTTTAAAATGTTTTATGATAGATGTTTATGATATTAATAATTTATGTTCAATATAAAACTGAAGCAAGATCACGCATTCCTTCGTGCAATCAAAGTTGCCTATACAACACTGGTCGCATGCGTCCAAATCGTAAACATAACCAACAAATTTTTTGATAAGCAAGTTTCCATAAGTGTTTATAATAATCATGTCTTCGGTTACTCGTAAAAAATGGGAAGATTTGGAAACGCCACTAAAGCCGAGCCTGATGGAAGCAATAAAATCATTCGATTTCCCAACAATGACACCAGTGCAGACCGCAACGATTCCTCTTCTGTTAAAAAACAAGGATGTTGCTGCAGAAGCAGTCACAGGTTCTGGGAAAACGCTAGCCTTCTTGATACCAATGATAGAGATTTTATTAAGGAAAAAAGAGGTATGGAAGAAGAACGAAGTGGGTGGATTGGTTATTTCTCCCACATGGGAACTCTCCATACAGATAACGGAGGTTTTAAATCAACTTTTGAAAAATATTGATGGTCTAAATTGCGTTTCTTTCGTTGGGGCACATGAGTTGAATGAAAACGTTCAAAAATTCAAACACAAAGGTGGCCACATCATTATTTGCACACCAGGTCGACTGGAAACTATGCTGACAAAGAACCAATATAATTTGCCAGCAACTGTTAAAAATTTGGTAAGTTTATAAATTTCGTTATTGAAAATTGTTAATGGTTTGATTTTCAGGAATTATTGATATTAGATGAAGCTGATCGATTATTAGATCTGGGTTTTGAAAAGTCTATAGCAACAATTTTAAGTTATTTACCAAAGCAGAGGAGAACTGGCTTATTTTCAGCAACGCAGACTAAGGAAGTTGAGTCTTTGATAAGGGCGGGTCTACGAAATCCAGTTTCGGTATCAGTTAAGGAGAAGATGTCGCAAAGCACGCCAGTGAGCTTGGATAATTATTTCATAGTCACTAGGGATAATGGGAAATTAGCGACGTTGATTGCGTTCGTGGAATCGCGTAAAGTGCAGAAAAGTATGGTTTTCTTTCCGACTTGCGATACTGTCGCGTACTGGGCGAAAATTCTACCGAATCTTTTGCGTCAATTGAAGATCTTTTCGATACACGGGAAGATGAAGAACAAACGGAAAAGTGTATTCGATCAATTCAGAAAGTGCGAAAATGGGGTTCTGCTGTGCACCGACGTTATGGCTAGGGGAATCGATATACCCGAAGTTGATTGGGTGTTTCAATGGGATCCACCGTCGAAGGCAACAGCTTTCGTCCATCGGATTGGTCGTACAGCAAGGCAGGGTCAAAAAGGTGCTTCGCTCACTCTTCTGCTAAAATCGGAAGATGCTTATATTAATTTCATTGATAAAAATCAAAAAGTGAAAGTGGGTCCTCTGGAAGATCCTGCAACAGAAGAGAAAGTACGAAATTTGTTTATATATGCAATTTTCAGATGTATTTAATGTGCTTGTTTTAGACGGAAGAATTGTTCAAGAAAATCCAATTAATGAATAAGGGCGATCGCAGTTTAATGGATTTATCCAAGTTGGCTTTCGTCTCGCATATCAGGGCATATTCTAAACATGAATGTTCTCTATTGATGAGGGTCAAAGTACGTTCTAGTATATAGTTTGATCAGTCAATTGTATAATTTTAAATTATGTTTAAGGATTTAGATATGACGGCAATGGGAAAGACTTACGGATTGTTGGAGCTTCCGAAGATGCCGGAAATTAATAAAACCGTTGCAGAAGATTATCCGAGAATCGCGGGATTGGACATCAACACTGTTGCTTATAAGAATAAAAAGTACGAGGATATTAGATTGGAGAAATTGGCCAAGTACAAAGAGACAGGGGAATGGCCCGGTCTGAAGAAAGTGATTAAACAAAAGGCAACGATTTCTTGGTCTAAAACGAAAGATTCGCAACAGAAGAGGAAGGAGAACAGGGCGAAACGAAAAGAGTCGAAAGAGCACAAGATCAAGAATAATATCGAAATAAAAAAACGCCCGAAGAAACGAAAAGGTAATTAATTAAAAAATCATTTGTTTTCGTGATAATTATTGACAAAAAAATTTATTTGTTTCTAGCACCTGCGACGCAATCGGATATTGATGAGATTTTAACTAAAGTAAAAAAATAAAATTGTTAATTTTAATTGATTTGTTATTGTTTTCGAAACCTAAAAAATTAAATATGAAGTCGTTTTAGTAACATTTAGATAGTGGCTATATAACAAATTTCTGGGTCTATTTCGCAAGCCCGACAACCGAAAGACCGTTTATTGAAATCCCGACTATATCGAAAATATCCGGAATAATTTAAAAATGTTATTGTAGACATTTTGGATATAGTTGGGATTTTTGGTACAGTCAGCATTTCAAACGTGGGGAATTTGATTGGCGGTATTTCGGTTGTCGGGCTTGCGATTGCCACCGCAAATTTCTCATATGACTTGGTCCCCCGGATTTAGACTATACTTGTATCTATCACCCATTCTAAACTTATTTACTTATGAGAAATAAAATTTTAACAAATCATAAACAAAGTTTATGCAACATTATTAAACCAAACATGAAATTTTGCACGTGTGGTAGAATTGCCTGTCATACATAAAAAAAAAACAAAATTAGTAAACATTATTGGAACATTATTTTCGTATATTTTCTTTAAATTTTTGTTTTAAAATTTGCAATGTTTTCTCTACTAGAACGTTTCTCCCTGAATGGAGTATCCATTTTCACTGTCGGCACACTGGTAGGAATATCAGTCGGTTATTTGATTGTGAAAATACGCGGAAAAGCAGACGATAAAAGGGATGAGGTTAGAATATTTTTGTGCACACCTTTCCGTTTTCAAACATAAAAAATAATAATAAATAAATGAAATGTTTATGTTTCAGTACACATATCCAAGTACGTCCAAAAACTATCGAATGATTTTGGGTGTTAGAACAGATTTAAAAATGCAGAAGGGTAAAGTAGCAGCTCAATGTGCACATGCAGGTGTGGCAGCTTACGTTAAGTGTCTGAAGAAAGCCCCAAATGCTCTAGGAAAATGGATAAAATATGGTCAATATTTAATTCATATTTATGACCTGTTAATTGATGATGGTTTTTCAGGTCAAGCAAAGATTACAGTGAAAATTGACAGTGAAGAGGAAATGCTGGAATTGGAGAGAGGTGCCAAGAAACTCGGTATACTTTGCTGCATAATTCGCGACGCCGGTCACACTCAGGTGGAACCTGACAGTCGAACTGTGATAGCCTTTGGTCCAGCGCCAAGGGAATTGATTGATCAACTTACAGGACATTTGAAATTATACTAGGCTTTATTATTTTTAAATTAAATTTTTTGATTAATACAACTTTAGGTGTCCAGTGATTTTGTCCAAGACACTTTTCGGTGCAGGACCAATAGCAATTACTGTTCTCGAGCCTGGAGCTACCTGGGTTTGTCCAGCATCCCTCACAATTGATGACATTACATTCAATTCTTCAGCTGCCAAATTTAACGCGAGCAGGTCTTTCTCCGATTCGATTTTTACGGTGATCTTTGTACCGCCTGCAAATTAAATGATCAAGAACAATGGACTAAATGTTTTTCGTGCAATCCTACCGAATTCCATCCAGCGCTTCAGTAGAATTGGTTCGTTTTTGAGTGCTTTCTCATAGGCAGCCACAGAAGCGTGACCGCACTGTGCAGCAACTTTGCCTTTTTGCATTTTCAAATCGCTACGTATGCCCATAACCAATCGGACTTCATCGTTCAAGTCTGGAAACTTGAATAAATCGAATTGTAATTTATTTAAAGATGCTCCAACTACTAACCTCAAATCTTTCCTCCATGGGAACTCTCTTTATTGTAGGCTGCCTTTTTAAGAATTTAATAAAGAACATAGTCGATGCACCGACTAAAGTACCTGTTGCAAATACAACTAAATAAGAGCTACTTGCGATTAAACCCATGTCTGTGATTGCTGTGCAGAACTTCAAATACTTTCACAAACTATTGCGTACGTAGGCAACCGTTACAACGTTTTCCTAGAATAATTGATTACTAACGTTCGATGAAAAGTACACCAACACTTTGTCCATATAGTTTGAATCCTTATGCAGCAGTAATAACGAAAGTTAAAAGTCGCGTGATTAATAAAAGAAACAAATTTGCAGCTAAATTTTATTGTTATATCTTATAACAATCATATTATGACTTTTACCATTACCGCTGCCGCTATGCTAAATGTAGGAGAGAAATGAGTAAATAAACGATTATTTTGATTGCTAATATTAAAAGTCGCAATAAAACAATTGATTTCAATTAGGGTCACTATTAAAAAATGAATCGAAATTTCGATTTTTTTTTTCTTCTTTTTGGAATGTTTCAATAAACAAACGAAATCTATTGATCACGGGAATGCTGATTGATGCAATTAAAACAATGGGTTTGATGTTTTTCTTTCAATTTTTTTTTCGTTTTTTTCTTTCTCTCTCTTGTTGGTTAATACAGAAGAAACAAAAAAAATGAATAAAAAAAAATCATATATAGTATAACTTGTTTGCTCTTTAAAATTGACTTTAAAAAAATATATAGAATAAACATAATATAAATCAATGAACAATATTTTTTACTTTTCATGTTGTTGTTATTGTTGACCTCATTTTTGTTTTACTTAAAATAATTAAAATCTTTAACAGTTTTTTTTTGCGTCAGGTGCCGAAAACAACAGGTCCGGGGATCGATTGGTAAATTGGTTATTAAATGAAATGTTAAGGCACCTGTACATTTTTGTGTTTGTTTGGTTTTCGGAAAGAAATAAAGGGAAATACGGTTTTTCGGTTGTGTGATTGAAGGGAGAGGAGGAGGAGGAATTGATTGAAGAAGAGCACCTTGGAATGGATAATATAAATTTGAAGCTGTAAAAAAAATTGAAGAAAAAAAAAAGAAGAGATTTTCTTTTATCTGCGGGACAACAGTTTGGGTTAGGGATTGGGACCGTGCTGTTGCGGCTGGTGGTGAGACATGAAGACGGATATTCCTTGTGGAGGAGGCGGCGGTTGCTGCACGTACGGCATTCCTGCTTGCATCATGTGTGGAGCGGTGATGAGTGGGTAGATGTACTGCTGCGGTGGCGGCTGTTGCTGCGGCTGCCCGGTGCTGTATGGGGGCGGCGGTTGAGCCGCATTCGGTATGTTAGGTGGATTCTGCTGGATGTATTGGAGTTGAGGCGATTCGAACATCCGAAGGTACGTCTGAGGATTCATGTTTTGCGAGAATGCGAATGGTTGCATCGGACTCGGCATGTTGTGGAGCAACGGTTGACCGGTGGCGGCGGCGACGTGCGACATATCGTTACGCATTGGCCCCACAACTGAAACAAGCAGAAACAAAATACAATTAATACGTACTGGATTACGAAATCCTCTACTAGTAATTAAATAGTATTCTATTAAACATTTACTACTCCCAAGAAACATGCCAAATGATTAATGTTAATTTAATTAAAGATGTGACTGGCTATATATACAAAGAAATACAATTGTTTGCTTTTACTTTGAAATTGCAAACATTTTCGTAAATATTGTTATCAATGAACTTGTTTTTTTTTTTGGATGGACACTACATTCAAATGTTTTCTATAAATCGCATTATGCCCAATAAATACATTTAATCTTTTGCTTCACAAAACATAATTGTTTGCTAATATTAATAAATATTTACTTACACTTTCTCAGACGATTCCCTTGAGGTTGAGGTGGACAAGATGGCATGCAATGTGTATAAGGGAACAGAACGGAGACGGGTCCTTGAGGGCCGTTACCAGTTGTCGGGATGTACGGATTACTTGGAGTCTGCGGTGTATGAGGCCTGCTCGCGGTCGGCGTAATCGGCGATCTGAAAAATGAAATTTTTAAATATTTTTGTTCAAGTGAAACGAGATTTGGAATTCATCTTACGCGTACCGAGGCGTGAAGGGCTTAGCGGTTGGATTCATAACGAACTCTTTCGCGTCCGGATTTAAGCTACTCTTCTTCACAGTATTCTTCTTATCAATGTTGTCTTGCTGCTGTGGTGAAATGGATTGCTGTGGTTGCTGCTGCTGCGGCGGTGTCGGCTGAGGCATTGGGTGTTTCGGTTCTTGATCGGCAATTGCAGCAAGCTTGAAATCCTGAGAAAATTTGTGAAGATCTTTACTGCTCTCTTCGCGATGTCTAGGCACGTTGTTGATCATATCCTGTTGTTTCGGATGCTGCTGTTGGGATTGCATAGGTGGTTGTTGTTGTTGCTGCTGCTGCTGCATTTGTTGGGGTTGAGTAGGTTGTTCCTGATAATGCATCGATTGTGCCTGCTGAACCATATTCGTTGATGGATAGACATTTCTTGGTGGCCTCTGGGGCATCTGCTTGGTTTCACCGTTCATTTGTTTCATGGGCGGTCTATTATTATATACATGAGCGGGCGGCGTATGAGAATGAGGTCTGTGATTCATCTGTGGCAGTGACATCTGATGTTGTTGTTGTTGCTGCTGTGGATTAGGTTGTAGCGGCATATGCTGTTGCTGCTGTTGTTGTTGTTGTTGCACTTGCGGTGGAGGAGTTTGGTGCATGTTGTGTAGTATTGCTTGGTCGCGAGAGCCACTGTTGTTGTTGTTATTATTATTGTTCGCGTGTGGAGACGGATGTGTTGGGTACGACATTGGCGGCACCGCCCCCTTAAGATTTGCTGAAGTTGCCGAAACGACAGGCCCCGCTGGTGGCGGGGTGCTTCTGATGGCTTTACAAGCAGCCTGTCCCTTCCGTTTAGCTGGGGGGACATATTTTTCATTGTTGTTCTCGACTTCAACTTTCTGAAAATTTTCAAGAAAAAATTAAAAATATTTTAAACAAACAATTAATATTTTAATAATTACATTAAATTCTTGATTTGGTTTGGGCCTAGCTACAGCAGCAAAACGCTCCTCCTCATCCCCATTCTCCAATTCAATTCTAGCTTTGTAACTGGGCTGATTCTCAATTTCTTTAGCAATTTCATTGGCTTTGGCTTCTGCTTCTCGGTAGTCCTGTGAATCGGTTGCCTGTAATTGTACAGTGTAACCTGTCAAAGTGTGATCATATGTGCTCTGCACTCCATAGCTTTGTTCATTTGTCATGAACATGTCATTGGCATCCCATCCGTTGGATCCCGGCTCCAACTGCAAACTGGTGTCACCCCCATTTATGGAGCACGGCGGCACCCAAGGCTCCAACACTTTCTCATCTCCCATGCCCGATTGACCGTTCAGGCGAGCCGATATAGCGGCGTCCGTTTGGAACACATCTTTTGTGGGGTAATCCAAGTCAACGTCCCTCGCGGACATACTGATAATGTCGTTTGGGCGAAAAATTAATTTATCAACGTAGGTGTCTGCAGCCAGACTGGAGTTATGCGAATCAGCGTTCTCCACCTTTGCAGCCACTTCCAAGACCACCTCGAATTGGCTGGAGAATGTTTTAAATACACCCTCCCAGACGTTGCCAGAGGCTGCTTTGATCCTTACAATATTTCCCACCTGCGCTGTTGCGGCATGCATGAAATGGGGATTACTGTAGACACCCTCAGCTGGCACCGAGCGCATCCTGGAGCCCCTGTTGGAATGATAGTCGATCCTGTAAAACCACAATTTGGATCAAACTATTGCTGCTACTGCTGCTTGCTGGTGGTGGATTAGATGTGTTTTGTGATTATCTATTGATATTCTTACCTGGCTCCGCCGCCGCCACCTCTGTTTTTTCTGTTCCTATTCATGTTGTATTCGTTGCTACCGTTTGAGCCGGTGCTGCTTTCGTAACTTCTAGTTGGCACCGGAATTTTGATAACGTTTCGCGGACACAAGGATGCGGAAAAATTACGAACGATTACGCGTTTCGAGTGAAGATTGAGTGAAAATAAAAAATAAATTAATTGATGAAGTCCTCCACTTGGCGATATCGGAGTGCAATTATATTCCAATTTGCCGTATTTATGCTGATTGTTAGTGTATGCGCGTGTATGTGTCTCTGTATATATATATATGTATCCGTGTATGTGTGTGTGTGTGTGGGGAAATGCACAAAATGGCCAGTACTATACGTACTATATACTAGTGTGACGTAATCGATAAAGTGCACAAAATAAACAAGTAGATTTCCAAAATTCCCCTTCCTTCCGTCCTACCGTCTGTTTGTATGATGCCTGAGCGTTTACGTGTGTTAAAAATATGTCTGTGTAGTGTATGTATATGTGTGTGTGTGTATGTATATGTATATATACGAAACACAAGTTGTTCACAACACGATCATTTTCCACGTTCGGTTTTTGAAGATTTCCTTCTTCCTTTCAGCTGATCAGCAAGCAAATGCGAATTATACAGGTGCGCCTCCTATTTTCACAACTGTACGTATGCGTGTGCACCGTTTTCCTTTCTCTTATCCTCCTACAGCTCGCGCCGCGAACACAGTGGAGGATCTTTGCTGGCGAAATTTGGCGAAAATCTTGAAGTATGAATTCTGTTGTGTGTGTGTATGTTGGGTGATGTCCCCATTACAATAAAACGACAATCGCTTGACGTCTGCAACGCCGCATTTCGTGTTGCCAACCCTTTTTGCTACTTGTCCAATGTTACCAGTACTAAATCCAAAAATCCCAACGTCACATTGAAAATGTGCTTTTTTTTTGTAAAAAAAATTAAGGCAGTTATAGGAATTGGAATTTGTAAACTTTTAACAACTAAAAGCTTTGAACGAAGAAGTTCTTTAATATTGTTATTTCAATATGCATATTAGGATCGTATTTCTGTTCCTAAATAAACATCATTTAGGCCTTGTTTGATACCAGATTTAGTTTACTAAATCAACATAATGTAAATTAAATCATAAAATAAATACAGAGACAAACAAATAATTATAATATAATTAGCATGACTAGTATTTTCGGTATGTTTACTGATAGGAAATAAATCGTTTTGTAATCACTGTTTCTTAATAATCTAAAGAATAAATGAATTTATCATAAACAAGATATCAAAAATATAATAAACAGTGGTTATTTAGAAAGAAAAAAAAAAGATATCCGCTGATAATAACTTGTAATTTAGTTAACTAAAACCACTGTGCCACCTATATTGTTACAAATTGATTCCATTTTTTATATTACATTGATTTTCATTGATTTGGTACGTCGAATTTATATATATATATTCATTAAAGTGCATTGTTTCAACTATCATTCGTTTACAAAGCAATAGATATTCCGGACAGGAAATACGATATTATTGTTTTGAATGTTTAATGATGATAAGGTGCACGATGAATAATCGTTCCGAATGTGTTTGTTTCAATTTCTATACACAATTATTGCAATGAGATTATTATATTAGATCCTTGAATAACAAAAAAATAAATAATTCCTGAAGCGATTACAAGAATTTTGCGACGTTACACTCTGCACGTGCTGCAACAATAGATTGTCCTTTCTGGGAAATGGAACAATGATTGGGTCCAGGTAAACGGGTGAACTTTGTAAATAAAGCTGTAAAGGAAGGAAAAACGGTTTGGACTTAGGATGGATGAAAGTAAATCTACAAATTGTATTTCTTTTTTGATGCTGGATTTAGTAAATTAATGGTTAAATTAGTAGTCATTTTCTCGTTTCTTCTTTACTAAGAAAATGTAATTTAATGGATAACAGAAATTGTTATGTCCAAGTATGCAACCATACTTACACAAAGTAAAAATATATATGTATATAAGTGGTAACTGCTGTGATATTGACTGGTATTAACTAACCTATAAATGTATATATTTTGATACAATAATATATAAAAGAATAATAATGCCCTTAATAGTTTTGTGCGGTTTTCCATCAAGTGGTAAAAGTAAAAGGGCGCAGGAATTGAAGGATTATTTCGAGCAGCAAGGCAAAGAGGTTTCCATCATCAGTGAATGCTCTGAAATCTTGAAAGCTGGTTTCGAGAAAAATAACTTTTTTAATGGTGAGTTGAAGAAAATTAATCCATAGCAAACATGACCATTAATCTTATTTATTGTAGATGCACACAAAGAGAAACATATAAGAGGTTTGCTAAAATCTGAGGTGCTGAAGCTCATAACACCCAGGAATGTTGTCATACTTGATGCCTCGAATTACATAAAAGGCTACAGATATGAACTGTACTGTGCATCCAAAGCGAACCACAGTACTCAGTGCACTGTATTCACATTGATTAACAAAGATATAGCTTGGGACTTGAACGAGAACAGGGTGGATGCAGCAGAGAAATATGATAGGAAAACCTTTGATGGACTTATAATGAGGTTTGAGGAGCCCAATGGGAACAGCAGATGGGATGCTCCACTGTTTGTTACAATGAACGATTCGGAGCTTGAATGCAAAGCTATTTCTGATTCTCTGTTTGAGAAGAAAGCGCCGCCGCCGAATATGTCCACGCAGAATGTAAATATTGAATTTTTTACTGAAAAAATTTTTGTTTTAATTGCATATTAACATGGTTTCAGGCCCCATTGAGTTCGACGAATTTCCTGTACGACATGAACAAAATTATCAAGGAGATAACAATGGCAATAGTGACTTTGATCAATTCTGGTTGCTTGAATGAAGTCAGCATACCTGGCAGGCCGGAACTGACTTTGGACTTGACACATGCCACCGTGCCGAAAGTGATTAGTTTAAGCAGACAATACCTGAATTATAGTAAGATCAATACACCTGATATTAAGGTGGTGCCACAGCTATATGTGCAATATTTGAAAACAAACTTGAATTGATTTATCCTCTCTTTTATTATATGTTTTTGTATCATATTTTCTATGATTACTACCTATACTCAGCAAATAACTTTAATGATTTTATCCTATATTTCATATTCAAAAGTTAATAACTTTGAATATGGAATTTTTATACAATAAGTTTATTTTTTAATAAACAAAAATTAAAAAATAATTAATTAATAGATTAATATAAACAATTAAGAGCGGTGCTAATATAAATTGAATTAAATAAATAAATATGTTTCCGTTTTGAAATATTTGTATATATGTTTATTAAACACTTCGGTGTACATCTGGTAATCGAAGTTTGATTGAGTTAAGCAAATTGTAGAAACGACAATACTTTGATGGGTGACCAATTAAAGCTGTATTACAAAAAGTGTTCGAATCTCAGACTAAATTCCTACAAAAAGGATTTTCAGAAGAACAAAAAAAGTTTCATTAATTAATTATAAATTAAAAAACTGATGTGACTTAAAGTATAAGTATTAAAGACTAATGAAAATCAAGACTTAAAATGAAAATTCTTGTCCATAAATGTGTTCTCAATCTTACAATAAAGAATGATTTCCAGAAGAAAAAATAGTTAATTAATTAAAACTATTAGTAATATTAATCAAAGTTAATTGAAATTGTACTCTTATTAGTTAATATATTTAAAATTACTGTTTGACGGTGAAGCACATTAGTATCTTGTTGCAGAAAAGAGCTTTGAATTTCGGTAATAGCAGAACATAAATGATGAATCTGAAGAATGTGCCGCTGTAGTGTAACATTGTGGACCAAATGTTCCAATAGTCTACGACGTTGTTAAACAAAGGTGGCATCTTGTACGTGTCCAAGACATCACCAGAAGCACTGTTCAAAGTATGCATGGAAGTGAGCGCTAAGCGTTGAACAGAGGTGAGGATGTACGTGGAGTTGAGGAACAAGCAGAAGATTAGGTAGTAAAGCACATTGTCAGCCTTCTTCATGAAAATATTTTGGAACGTGTTCTTCCTGCTGAACTCGTAAGACTTCCAAGCCACCAACAACGTGGAAATCGCGAGCAAACAGAGAGGGATGAACACCCTGAACAGCATCAGAGATTCCTGCAAGATGACGTTGTAATAGGCGTCGGCTACAGTGCAGATGCTGTAGTTGCCTTTCAGCGTCATCACCGAAGACAAAGTGAATTGTGGTATGCTCAGCGAGATGCAGATGAACCAGACGAGAACGCAGGGGATGATCACTGATACCTCTTGCTTTCGGCTTTCCGAAGTGTTGCGCGAATCACGCACAAGACACTCGTTCGAGGACTCGCAGGATGTGAGCGGGTTACGCGTCTTACGTTCCACCTTCAGATTGCACAGAGATATCGTGTGGAAATTCAGCGTAATTATCAGGTACAGTGTGAGGGTGTTGAGGAGGACTTCGAAGCCGGAGAACATAGGGCACAGCTCCGATGGGAAACGCCACGTGTCGCTCCTCAACGACCATATTTCCAAGAAGCACACACATGTTGATGCAACATCTGCAGCCGATATCTGAAGAATTACGGATAGAGTGCCTGAGAACAAAACATTCTATACAATAGATACAAATTTACAATTTTCATTCAGTAAAAGATGAAATCTTTTAGTTTTTAATTTATTTTTGTATTTCAATAATAATTTTATAACGTCAACTGAAGATTTCATTAAAAATTGACAACAACAAAAAATCAACTTCAAATAATTAATGAATACATGCAAAAAAAATATGAAGTAATTAATAGTTGATTGAATGTAATATTTTCTATTGAAAAACAATATTTACCATTGCGCTTTTTGTTGCGAAGAATTGCGAGAAATGCGAGTGAATTCATGAGCGCTCCGAACGCGACGTTTCCCAAGTAAGTGAGCAGGATGAGCGTGTTAACATCCAGGTACGATAAATCAGCATAGGTTCCATTCGCCACATCCAATAATATAGAATAGTCTGCGCTGCCGGGAGTAGTGTAATTACCATCGAGATCTTCCATCGTCTTCAGGAACAGTCGGATGAAATCTAATCCGTCCCGTCGGAATCTTTATCTTCGAATGAATTGAAACGGGCCAGAACGGATATTCAAAGGCGGCGCATCGCACTCTGGGCTTTATTAAAATTGACACACACGCTCTAACAATGGTTAGATTCAATGAAACCCTGAGTTACCCTCTTTGTCTTCTTTGCATTCCCATTCGCGGTGTGAAATGTGTGCAATGATAAAGTACATATTTTTGAGGAGAGAGTACGAGTCGTGAAACGGTCGCGGCTTTTAGTGTGCTGTGAAATCACTTTGAATGTGAAGTATAAATTGGATGGAGGCCCTCTGTGCCACTCGAGTGGCGCCTCTGAGGATGCATTTCTTTCACTGGCGTTGAAACAAAAATAAAAAGGGATAATTCGTCTGGAATTATTCGAGACCACGTGTATTGCACTTTAAGTTATTTTAGTCACATGCACGACTTTTACTTCTCGCTGCATTGTCTTTGTCTGGAAACATTCTCATTAATTTCAATATCTATATAAATACAGTGTTAATTGAATATCTTCCGTTGTTCTATTCTATTTTATACTTTAAACAAATTATAAGAACAAAAACATTCAACGTAGAATATATAAAAATCACTAAAATGTGAAGATACTGATTTTTCCAGCTTTAATTTTTCGTTCACAGCGAATTACAGCCAAAAGGATAGAACCATAGCAAGAACCATTGAATACTCCCTATATTCCCTAAATATCCAACTTTCATATGCATCTTTTCGAACTATTCTAGTCAATATAGTTTCTGAATCAAAAAAATCAATAAAATTTGAATTGATATTTCGCGTGTTAATTTTTCGTAACTTCATTTTTAAATGCGAATTACAGCCAAATGAATGGAACCATAGCAATGTTTGAATACTCCCTACATTCCCAAATTATCAAACTTTCATTGGTATCTATTAGATCCATTTAATTTATTACAGTTTCTGAGAGAATCACTAAAATGTGAAGACACTGCCATTTAGATTGTTAATTCAATACTCTTCATTAATGTATTAACTATAATTACTGATACTCTTCTAATCATTACATCATTATAGCTGATAACAGTATCAATTTTTATAATATTTAGTAGAATAAAAAAAGTTTTATTATTTTTTAAAAATTGTAACAAAAGTGAAACATTAATTTTCCTTATGTTGGTATGAGACTTGCTTTGTTATGATTTGTGAAAGTTTGGTTAAATCATATTTATATGCATATGCTATATGGGGATAAGGAATATAGTACAATAGTTGTTGATAGTAGAGTTTAATAGAGCAAGCAGCAAAGATGCCGACTGTGATATTATTGGATGTGTCGCTTTCGATGTTGAGGCCATTAAAATTGGCAGACAATAGTGAAATCACAAGAAAACAGCTAGCCGTTCACGGTATTCATATGTTTCTTGATCATCTCAGTGTACATTCAAAACTGGAATTCATCTCACTGGTAAGTCGAACTTTTTTATTTATTTTTTTTGCGCCGTTGCTATTAGTAATTTCTAAAGCTTTTGCAAACAAAAAAATACAAACTTGTAGATAACTTTCATTACACTTGGTAGTTGATTGATGGTTGTTTGGTAATATTTGGTTTCGTGCGGTTGGTAGTGGTGTTGCCAATTTAACGGTTAACTTGGCGGCGAGTGCGGGTCTGCTCGACGGCACTGTCGCAATCTGACATTTGCGTCCACATGGTTTGTGGGTGAAAATACCGAGCTGAAAGGAACGTGTTGTGTATAAATAAAAATTGTGCTCTCGACAAACGGGTGGCAGCAGCAAGCAATTTAAACGGGTGAGAAGCAAGTGATGTGATTGTGCTTTTAAAATGGGAGAAGTTAAAGCACATGCACGTAGAAGTTGCAAGACGATCGCTCTAAGGTAAGCAATGCGGCGACGATTTAAATATACCACATGCTCATTAATGTGTCATTTAATTATTCGCTAAACAGGTACAGATTTGTATTGAACAACCAAGAGGATGGCAAGTCAGAGCTGCAATTTTTGCCTCATGAATTGATTAAATTGGAAGTGGACGTTTCTAAGGAACCGACACCAGAACCAGAGCCAGAGGTGGTCTATGTAGATGATGTAGAGTATCTGCGAAGCTTGGACCCCAAGGAATGGAAAAAGCAGGATCATTACAAGGTGCTTGGCATCGAGCCACTCAGGATTAAAGCAACAGAGGAGATCATTAAGACAGCTTATAGGAAGATGGTTCTGAAGCATCATCCTGATAAGAGGAAAGCTCAGGGTGAAGAGATCTTGCAGGATGATGATTATTTCACTTGCATCACGATGGCCTACGAAACGTTAGGAAATCCGGTGAAGAGAAAGTCGTATGATTCAGTTGATCCTGAATTCGATGACAACATCCCAACAACTAGTGAGATTAAAAAAGATTTTTACAAAGTATTTGATAAGTATTTCCAATTGAATTCGCGTTGGTCTGAGAGGAAGAAAGTGCCGAAAATTGGTAACGCTGATGCTACCAGAGATGAAGTCGATCATTTCTATTCATTTTGGTATGATTTTAAATCCTGGAGAGAATACTCTTACGAAGATGAGGAGGATAAGGATAAATGCACAGATAGGGATGAAAGAAGGTAATATTAATTGACTGAATTAAAGTTACATCATATTTAATATTTAAATTCAATTGAAATTTTGTAGGTACGTAGATAAATTGAACAAAGCTGAGAGACTCAGAAAGAAGAAGGAGGAAAACTCTAGAATCAGACAGTTGGTGGATTTGGCTTATAACAATGATCCTAGAATAATAAAGTTTAGGCAAGAAGATAAAGACAAAAAATTGGCCATTAAGAAAGCGAAACAAACGGCCGCGCAGGCAAAACGCGACGAGGAAGAGAGAGTCTTGAGGGAGGCCCAGCAGGCTAAGGAGAAGGCCGAGGCTGCAGAACGGGCCAAGATAGAGGCGAAGCGTCAAGAACGCGAAGCCCTCAAGAGAGTGCTGAAGAGGGAAAAGAAAACGCTCAGGGACTTCTGCAAGAGTCACGATTATTTCGTGACCAATCCGGACGACAATTTGAAGCATTTAACAGCGCTGGAGAGACTTTGCGAGTATCTGACCGTCGAAGAATTGGGTGAGCTGAATAAGAATCTGAAGAACAATGGAAAATCGGCGTTCATGAAAGCCATCAAAGAGAACGATGCGAAGATCGAGGCAGAGAGAATGGCGAGCACTCAGACATATCAGCAGAGGATATCAGAGCAAGTTAAAAACAATGTGGTAAAAGTCAATCCGGAATGGACGAATGACAATATTCAGCTGCTGATCAAAGCGGTGAATCTGTTTCCTGCTGGCACGAATCAGAGATGGGAGGTCGTCGCGAATTTCCTGAACCAGCATGGTACAATTAGTGAAAACAGTTCCAACTTTACTGCCAAGCTGGTACTGGCGAAGGCTAAGGATTTGCAGAACACCGATTTCTCTAAGAACAACATGAAGGAGGCTGCGAATAAGGAAGCGTTCAATACTTTTGTTAAAGAAAAGAAAGCGACAGTTAACGTCAAGGACACTGAAATTTCTAAGAAAGATGGAAAGAAGGAGGCAGCACCTAAAGTCGCTGCATCTAAAGTCGTTGCACCTAAAGTAACACCGCCTACGCCTACACCTGCCCCGATGACAAACGGTGATGCGACAACATCTACCTGGTCGAAGAGCGAACAGCAGCTGCTCGAACAAGCGCTGAAAACCTATCCATCTTCGACGGCGGAGAGATGGGATCGTATCGCCGAGTGTATACCAAATAGATCCAAGAAAGATTGCATGAAACGTTATAAGGAATTAGTGGAAACGATAAAGGCGAAGAAAGCTGCACAGGCCAATCTCAACTCGAAATAACGATTGATACGAGATGTATAGAATATTAGGGCATTTTTTTGAGAAAAAAAAACTTGGTTTATTTATTAAACTTGAATCGTTTACTTATCGTCATTTTCTTTTTAAAACACTTACAATTATTGTTATTATCATTACGTATTACCTTTTTGTTCTTTGAAGCTGGCTTTTCAGATTTTACATTATCGTATATGTATTCTTTTTCCTTTACTTATTTTCTTTAATATTAAGGCGGCGTCTCTACCACACGTTCTCCCCTCAACAACAACAACAACAACAAAAAAAAAACACAAATTGTTAAAGGAATTTATACGATTTTCTTTTATTTTCTTAAATTCAATTCATGTGACAAATATACTTATTATACAATCATTCATTTTGTGCTGTGTTCCGAAACCTAGTTATTAGATTGTATTACTTTCAATTAAAAGCAATAAACTTATGCATTAGCACTAGCTACATAGGTAGGTAAGGTGTATTTAAATAAAGTCATATATTAATCGAAGCGTACGACTATTGTCTATATTGTTGAAATGTAGAAATGACATCAACTATTTGAACAGCTTTTCGAGCGTTATAATTTATGGAATGTATCATACTTTTTTGTTTGTTTGTTTAACCCTGTATATCATTTTGTATTTACTTACTCAAAACAAATAATATTGATTAAAAAAAAACTACATTAGTTTAATATAAACAAAAATGTAAAAAAAAGTTACTGAAAAATTGTATACATATACTTCTTAAATATATTTTAATGAATTACATGTGCATTTTCAAATATTTATCCCATAGATTTTTATTTCATTGGATGTATTTTATATATATTTTTCAGGTAACATTTTCGTCTATATACGAGGAAAAGTGCTCATTCACAAGGGACTACAATGTTATTAAATCAGAACTAAAGTCTATCGACGATTACGACAAAACCTGCATTGAAATCGCGTTCAATGGAATCAATCAAATTGTGCTGAACGAGTGGGGCAACAATACTGCGTGTCAAGTAAGTTGAATTTGAATTGGAGAAATGTTGAATGTAGTAATTATTTGTAATTATTTCTTTTTAGGTCATATTGGTGACGGATGGAAGTTCTGGCATAGGTCCTGGATCTTTGAAGGATTCTTTGAGCACAATAAATCAACGTGGCGCTGCGAATCCATTTCCCGTTCCGTTCGCGTTCCCAACTAAATTGCACGTCGTTTGCATTGCACCTCCAAATGATATTTCATTGATTAAATGTAAGTGTATAACTAACTAAAAGTTCAACTTTCATATGCATCTTCTGAGAAAATCAAAATATAAAGACGCTTTTTATATGAAAAATGTATTGTTTTTGTTTTCCACAGCTAAACCTCTGTATCAGAAGTTGATCGACATCAGCGGATATGAGGGATCAATTAATATACCGGACGGCCAGTTGAACGAGCAGAGCGTCCAGACGATATTCCAGAAACTCGCCGACGAGATGTACGCCTCGTTCAAAGGTTCTTTGAAATGCGGCCATTTGGAGTCATCGATATACTTGACGCCGGCACCAATTGTATGTTCACTTCAAATAGTTAATAATACTGTATCAATATTAATTGTGCGTTTCTCCTCTTCAGCCATACACAAAAGTCACCGATTTCGAAGTGAATACCTCAACCGTATCAAACGTCATAGAAGTATGCGGTTTCATCTCTGTTGGAGATATAGGATCGCCGATGGCCGTCAGCAGACATCTCATTCTTCCTGCCGGATCTCCTAAAGATAAACTGAACAACTCTGGAGAGATGTCCGTAGATTACGAGAGCGACAATAGCGACGACGATAAGGCGCCCTCGTTCTGCGTCCTCTTTCACGGCGCTCTGAAAGTCGAGAATATGGCGGCGCTCGTCTCCGTCGCCGACAATTGGTTCGGTTTCATCTACTCGTGGGCGGACTCCAAGAAGAAATCCAATCTGATGTTGACCCTACTCGTGCCTGGATCGGACAGCGTTCCGTGGTTGGGCGATCTCAACAATTTGCATTCGCTGGACGGCGTCCCCTGCGATTCCGTTCTTAACTTCCCGCTGAAGTCGTCGGAGAAGAGGAGTTATTCACAGAATAGTGTCGTCTGGATTCGACAAGCCGGTTTGCAGTCCGACATTCAGAAGATCCTAAGACATGCGAAAAAATTGCCAGAAAAAACGCAACAGTTCTACAAGGTACTTATTTTTTACTTAAGTTCTCTTTATTAATATTAAGTCATTAACTGTAACCAAATAGAGGAAATGATGGGAGTTTGATGACATTAGAGACAGGTCAACACTCTTGCAGAACAATGCTGCCATTTTTTTTTTCGAAAAGGGATTTTCCACAATGGTCAATGTTAAAACAAAACAACGAAATTGAGTCTAAATCGATGCTTGAATGCGAATAGCATTGAGTAACGCAATTAAAGTGCGAATAGATGAATTTGTGAGGTGTATTGTACAGCAGATGTCTCATTAATTAATTAGTTATATAATCATTACTTTAAAATAGTGGGCCGCAACTACTAAAAAGTTAAGAACACATAAACTACGACGTTTCATAATTAAGATAATTTGATAATGCAGAATGATTGATTGTTTTTTGTTGTTGTTGTTGTTGTTGTAGGAGTTGAATCGGTTGAGGAAGGCTGCGATACAATTGGGTTTTATGGACCTGCTGACCGGTCTCGCGTTCATCTTCGAGCAGGAATGCACGCAGCTTCCAGGAAGCGCCCATCCGGATTGCGCGCTGCAACTGACGCACGCGGCCGACGCACTCCGTAAACCGCCGAACATCAAGCACGTCATCGTGCCGATGCAAACGAACTACACCGGCTCTAACCAATGACCCGACAATGATGATGACGATGACGTGCGATGGGAACAGTTGAAGCGAGGAACGTGACGTTTGCAGGATAATAAGGATTTAAATGATCATCAATTATTTTTTGGTATATCCTTTATTATTTCTATGCAAAGAATACAATTTTTCTGTTTGTCTAAAGTTCATAACTGGGGGGGGGGAAGTTGGTGAGGATTGGTTGATCTAGTGATACAGTTTGCCCAGACTGAACGAAAGTCTCGGTATACAAAGTAAAAAGGAAACGCTTACAAATACAAGCGTTTCTCTCTCTCCCCATCCACTCACATTTCTCGTTTATATAAATATATATATATGCGCATATGTAGACTTCAAGTGAACAGATCAAGTTTACAAAACATAATTATTTCCATTAGTTCAATCACAAAATTAAACCACCAACAAATGGTCTGGACAAAATGTACACGCTCACCTCGTCATGTATAATAATCTTTTTTTTCCTTTTTCATCTCATATATATATATATATACTTTTTTTTGTTTTATTTTCATTAAAATTGGTATTAAATATATATTAATATGTATTTATATATATATATATAGTACAGTTGCGAAAGGCATATTCATTATATATATATAATTAATTTTTTTTGTCTCATATATATAATTATAATCAATTACTTACAACTGTCGATCGCATTTTATGTTTTAAATTTTTGGTAATATTATCATTATTAAACTTTACAAGTCTATGGTATTTAGAATTACAAATCAAGTTTTCTTCATCCTCTCTCAATCTCTTCCAATTCTTCCACTTCTCCATCTTCTGTTCGAATAATAAAAAGTTATTATTGACTTAAATATCTTCTTCGGACACGACGCGCCGCAGTACACAAATATTTCTCGAAAATCCGATCCAAAACGGAATGTTTAAATATATTTGTCACCACAGTAAAACTCGCAAAGGTATAATTTATATAATATATATATATAATCTTATATTGTATCTTTCAATTTACTCTTTTTTTTTTAATAATTTTTTTTTGTTGGTTTGCAAATCCAATTTTCTTTGTTTAAATACTTCTTTTGTTTTCTCATATATATATATATAAACTTTGCTAAAGGCTTTATTAGGCAAACATCCAGGATCAACTGGAATCAGTTGAGACAAATTTTACTCTCGTCTCTTGAAACGCTCCTTTTTTTTAATATATAGAATTACTTTCTTTTAGTTTTAAATGTAGTAAAAACTAGAACTAGATTACCTCTAAAATATGTAATAAGAGAATCACGAAACAATAAAATAACAGAAAACAGATTCTATTCGTTAAGTCTCTGGCTATTTCTTTTTTAAATTTCTATATTATCGTATAGGAAGAAGCGAGTTTCCGAAAAACTAGATCCAATATAATATTTTTTTTATCCAATCTCTTGTATCAATATAAAATCCTCTTCAATATACAACACCTTCAATTCATCATAATCATTATTAATACAATTATTTACTACAAAATAGTTTTTTTTTGTTTTTGTTTGTTTCGTTTTATAATTTATTGGAATTGCTAAGACCTATAACTAAAATAATCTCCCTTTCAAGTACAACTGGCAAATTCGGTGTTTCCATTTGGAAACACTGCGTTTTACAATAAATAGTAATATATATGTATATAATAATAATTATTATAAAGAAAAAAAGATTATTTTTGATAATACAATAATCGGTGCTTATTTTCTATATATATTTTTCGTCTCCGCATGCGAAAGCCCAGTTTAAAAAGTATTTATTACGTTACATGGTAAATATCTTGCTGCGTTTTTCGTCTCGTCAAAGTTTAAACAAAGAAAAGAAAGAAACTACGCTCGCTTTACAAAATAACAATAGAGCTTGACTAGGGTAGAAAAATTATATCTACAAATCTTTATACAAATCTCAGAAATATCATGTCTACTTCCCCTCGTCAATATAATTTTTAATCTATAACTAAAAAAAGCCACATAAAACGACGTTTTTTCACTATGCAGCGAAGCTCTATTCTTTCATTATCATTATTATTAATATTAGTTCATTACAACAAAAAAAAGATATATTTGCTCTTGATATCGCTGTAAAACTAAACTATGTAATATGACCACTTGTCCTGTTTCCTTAACAGTTAACCATTGAAGAAATTAATTGACAAATGGCAGGACTTCGTGTTCAGCCACCGATTAAAACGCAAGCTTTGATATTCGTTTAGCAAATACATAGTTTTCATGTAAACGTCGTCAATTACGTGGCCTTTTTTTTTTTTTAAATAATACAAATCGAATAGTTCGTATTTCGTGCAGAAATACGAGCATTACAATAGTTTTAATAGTTTTTTGTTTCTTTTCTATATAGAAATACACAAGTCTACGTATAATCATGCAAATTCCGAATGGAAAGTGCACTTACAAAATGAAATAATAATAATATGTATATTTATATATTTACAAGTTTTGGGTGCTGTTTAATTTATTGAAGCAACAAAAAAAAATCAGCTTCAATTTACGCCTAGTTTATTTTAGATAATTTAGAATATATTTAAGACTCTTCTCATTTCAATTCACACATTGATATTTATTACTGGAAATTGCATTGAAAGTTGCGGTAAAATAAATAAGTTAAAACTGTTGTTGTTTTTTAACTTTGCAAGATGGATTTGCATTTAGAAATAAAAAGATAATGAAGATGATGATAAACCTAAACTTAATGCATCTTTATTCAAACAAACAAAATAAAAAATAAGAAAATTTTCAAATAATTCTTATACAAAATATAAAATCGTACAAATGGTAAAAAAAAATATAATATAAATTATAAACTAAAATTGGAAGTTCAAATTTACGAAGCCTTTCGTACACTGAACATATGTATATATATATATAAAACGCAATAAATATCAATGTTATTTTTTTTTGCAGATAAATACGTAAACTAAATACAATAGTTAGCGTGCATGGACGCTAATTGCAAACGTTCTTTTTCTTTTTTTTTTTTGCTCTAGTCTTAGGAAGTTTTGTACTTACGAGATAAAACTGCGACCTAAACTTGTAACAGCTCGCGACGTGGCTGACTAAAAAAATTGGACAAGAAGTGTTAATTCTCTCAGTCTTATATATACGTTACTATGCAGTAATCGAACTAAACTATAAACAAAGAAACAAAAAAAAAATATAATATACACAAAACGGAAACCGATTTTGGATGACTAAACATACGCAACGCTATATATTAATTAATTGTTAAGCCTAAAATACATCGAGATATATAAAAATATGAATAAAAAAATGCGCGTTTCTTTTTTTTTCTTTTGTTGTTTGTATACATATATACTTTATGCTTTGTTATAAGTTATAATAATAATAAGTTTAAATCCGCTGCTTTCGTCCTTTGACTCTATTAGTGCGGGACAAATACGGACAGCGAATAAAAATATCTCTATTTTTTTTAACAAAGAATCGGAACAAGTTTGTTCGTCTTTTCATTAATTCATTATTATTTCTTCTTTTTGTTTTTTCAAATATATCTATATATGTGTTTGTGTATATCTGTACGCTATGTTAACATATATATATATATAGATATATATAGATATATATATATATTAAATATACAATCTAATCACAAACGTCGCTAACTCATAACAATCTATTATTTTTTTCTTTTCTCATATATGTATATATATATTATTATTATTACGGATATACTTAACTAACACATCCATAAGAAGCACTTATTAATCATTCAAATTACTTAAACGAGTCTCTCTAATCTTTCTTACTTAATAGATTATGAATATTATTTCTTTTTAATTTCATAATTTTCCTTGCGATCATCGACGCCTCCGACGGTTGTTGCGAATGCAACTGCATTAAGACGGTTCCAAAGTCTTCCCCGATTCGTCTTGAGGCGGTTCCTTTGGAGGCGGGTCCTGAAGGGGGCGGTGGTCACCATTTGGGATCGGCCTCCGGGTGGCCATTTTTGTTGTTGCAGAAGACCGCCCATAATAAAGGCGCACGTGTTTAAGTGTGTGTGTGTGTTTTTTTTTGTATGCATCAATTGATTCACTTATGTTTGGATTCGGGTTTTGTTTGTTGTTTTTGTTTTTTTTGTTAATTGACACTGATCGCAGCGAATGTTGTCGTGTTGTGTTCTTCGGTGGCGCGGGAATGTGTGCGGTTGTGCTTGATATGTGCCTTTATTACGGGATGCGTAGTTGTTGTTGTTGGTGGTGTAATAGTTGTTGTTTGTTTGCAGCTACGCCCTGTAGATGTATGAGGCGGTTCGCGGTGGCGTCGGAGATGGCGAAGAGGAGGGTGGCGAAGGTGAACTGGAGGAGCCGCTGCTCGTGGGAAGTACGCTGTGGCCGGCGGCCGCTCCCCTCGCTGCATGGGGACGGCTTCGGCCAAGGCTGCGGGCTGCCACGCCACCCTCCTCACTGTTTTCTCAGAGGTACACCTTCTTCACGCTGCGGGTGGTCGCGAATCCGTCTCCGCGCCTGTAATTGTTGTCGCCCTACACAAAGAAATCGTTCTTAATCAACATTCAACCCAAACTGAGCCGCGACGGCCGACCGAGCCTCCCCAGCTACCGGCCTACCCACCTGATGGGAACGCAACGTTCCGAAGTTGTCGCGGGTGCGGTAATCGCGCCCGTTGTAACCGGTGTCCGTCTGGAACTGGAACAGCGTCTCCGCGTTGTTCTGCAGTTGCGGCATCTTCCTCAGCGTGCTCTTCGGCGAGTGCAACTTCGGGGGTTGAGGCACCAGCACCGGTTCGGCGTACGTCACTTCCTCCTGTGGCAGCAGTTTCGGCTCCGCTTGTATCCTATGCCAACAGATATAAATACGGTGAAAACACATTCAATTTGTCACTCGCTCTAATGATGATGACACTCGTGTGTCGCGAGACATTTAAGTGCAATTTACTAATTCAGCGCAAATATCAAATTTACATGAAATTAATGTGTGCGAGCGAGTCGGAGAGTAATTGGATCTGTGATCATCATCAAGATTAATTCAACACCTAATCAACTATTTTCTGCATTTCCATTTAAATTGTTTAGTTTAACAGAAATTATCTAACCCTGTCTAGTGGGCATTATTATAATTTGTCTCGGAAAGAGAATTTGGTTGATAAATCAAGGATACATTTTGATAGTTCATGTAAATTTAAGAATTTCTGAATTTACAAATACAGTACAGATATTCATATGAACGTACACTATATAATAGATGTATGCGCCGGATCGAAGAAAGTAGGTTGCTAAGTTTCTTATACTTATTACGAACAGAACGCATTTGCAGAATCAATACAATGGGATCATGCATACCGTATATATGCGCAGTTCAAATCCTACGAAAATATTGGGTTTGTTCGGAAAGTTTGTGCCGATTTTCGCTAAGCACCATTGCCTAAATATATTATTGACTTGTCTACATATTCTGAAAGAAATATGTTTGGTTCGGCTCAAATGATTTGTGTCAGTTTGGTAGATTCTTGAAGATGGAAGAAAACAAAGCGCATTTTAGACTTTGATACTTTTTCTATTATTAGAAAGTATAAAAAAAAATGTCATTAAGAATGGTTCATTAAGATTTGGTAATTGAACTTTGTTGGGAAATGATGCGGCGTATCCGTAATTCATCAGGTCTGCAGAGAAGACATTTCCTGCAGATTGTTTAAGTTTGGGCCGTGAAATAACGTAATAAATCAATTATTTAATATGAAAATGTCACCGGCCGATAAATAGTGTTCGTGGTGTTGGGCTGAAGCTGTTTGCTTTTTATCAGCGGCTCCCATTAATATCCTCCGTCAGCGGCGCGCGTGTAAATCAGGCTGAAGGCTTCTTCTTTGGCCCAAATTATTATTATTAGAGGAACCGGTGACTATAGTTCTTGATTGATGATAGAAAATGTAATTACAGTTACCTATTCATGTTCTGTCGCTGCTCGAAGTACTCGTACTCCGTGTCCGGGTACGGCATGTTATCGTCCTCGTCCTTGTGGCATTTCCTTCCGCAAAGATAACCGGCGATAAAACCGACGAGGAGGGCGCACACGGCGCCTGCTACAACGGCCGTCACGAGCGTCTCCACCGAGTATTGGGGTGGAAGACTCTCCGTGGCGCGAACACCAGGATCTGCAAATTGAAGAGTTGCAATTAGAGGGAAGACGTTGAGATTGATTTATATATATACAATTACCGTTATTTTCGAAGACTTTGTCCTGGACGATGTTGATGATCTGTCCGTCTGGCTGCTCTTTGCTGGCTTGATGATCCTGATTGTATTTGGGCTGAGTGCTCAGTCCGCCCAGTGAACCGGCGTCTTTGTTCAATTTCATCGGCGGACAAGCGGAATGTTGACCGTTGGACACACTTTGGAAGAAGTAGTTCTCCTCGCCCCAGCGACCAGCCCCGTGCGATCGGCACTTTCCTTGCAGCTTATCCCAAGCGCAGTACGGATCCTGCAGAGCGACGCATTCACTGCAAAAAAAAAAGAAAGAATTTCAATTTTATTATTTCATTAAATTCTATATTAAAATTCTTATATTTACGAAATTGTTATCTTTGATGGAAAGAATGTAGAGATGAATTTTGTTAATTATTTTCTATACATATTGATTGTTGTTACAGCAGACCTTTCAACCAGTTAAATTTAAGACAATTCAACCAGTAAATTTATATTTTCCCAATTATTATAAGGATAATCCACAATATAATTTGGAAACATTTTGAAAACATTCGATTCTATTCTTCGAATTGAATTACCAAGTTTCATTTTCATCGTCTCTATTTTATCTCCCATGGAAAACATGTTGTGTTGATTTCCTTACATAGATACATATAGTTAGTTTAGAATGTAGAAGATGTGTGCCAAGTACAAATTTGATTATTTATCATTTAGAAATGTAATAAGTAAAAAGTGATTTATCAGATTCTCAATTAAAATATTTCTTGAAAAATAAGCAAATTAATATATATTTGCTATAGTGTATAAATCGTAAACTTATATATAAAAGATATCAAAACATAAAAAATAAGTTTGGGTTTTAGCAAAATGTAGTAGAGTAAGTAGAAGCGTAATATTACCTGCAGCTTGATATTTTTGAGCTGTCGCATCTGTGCAAACGCAGAGATTGCACCTCTCCATCGGCGACGACGATCAAGCGACCTTCCTGCTTTTCGTTTCTTATAACTTTGATGCCACGAACGGCGACGTGCGATGGAAACACCTGGATCTCCTCGATGACGACGGGTCGGACGCCGTGACGCGATTCAGCAGACAAACCATTAACAGCCTTAATAACCTTTCCGTTATCTGCGAAGCAAAATATAATTAATTGACATTCAACTTAAACGAATCTAAAGGAAACTTACCTGTGCCGATGAACAGTACGTCGTATGTTTTGCCACCGGGCACTTTGATCTGTGGATCAACGGCGATCTGAGTAAACCTGTAACTAAGGTAGAAAATCGCATTAATTGACGAAACGTTCGAAATTATGTTGTTGTTGAGAGCTTACTGGAAGCTTGTCCTGATGACAATCGGTTGTCCGAAGAAGTTGGGAACGCTCTCGTCCATCAGCGAGTGAGTTTTGATGAAGTTGAGAGTCAGATCGGGCAGAGTTCTGCTGTCGTTGTGGCACTGGCCGGGTCGCGGATCAGGGACTTTGGAGCTTTGCACCGGTAACCAGTTCGAGTTCAACGTTGGCTGCTCTTTGAAGTTACCTTCGAAGGTGTCTGCAATGTCCTGAAGCGAGAAGGCGCACACAGCGCTTCCGGTGATGCTGTTCGGTGGTGTCGTGAACGTTCCATACACCAGCTGAGCGCTGACGTCTCCGTACTTGCCTTCGATTAATTCCGTCGTCGATTCTAAACAAAACAAAAATCACATACAATTACAGAATTGGGGGAAAAGTATTCAAATTTTCAGCTTCATGTCCGATGAAATCCCTGGTATATACGTGGGGTCTAACGAATGTTCACTAAAGTGGGCGATAATTCATGTCGAACATGAAAAGATTAAAAAAAAAAACGATTTTGAGGAATGTTTGGAAAGGCTTACCGGCGAAATGTATTGAAATAAATGGAAATTATGTAGAGAAATTACAAAATGATGAAAATTATCTATTAAATATTAAATTTGTTTCGTTAGTTGAAATTCTTTAAAATTGTGAACGTAAACTGGAAACGTCTTTGGCAGATTGTATTTGTAAAGGACTAGTGTGTGTAAAGTCAAAGAGTCTTCAAGATATAATCGTCATCCGGGCCACGTCGAGGCACTTTGTACGGCGAAGAATGCAATCTATATGGATTCCATCTTGGGCGTAAAAATAAACTTACGGATTTCGTTGAAGTAGAACGGAAAGTCTCCGGTCACCGAGCAGTTCAGACGTGACTTCAGGAAGGACGTCCAACGGTTCCTGAACCTGTGCGGACCGCCGCGATCGTATTTACATACACGGGCAACCCTCGAATACACAGCCTATTATAACAAGAAGAAAACACGATTACAATTAGTTGATAGAAGAAACAATTTATCTAATAATTACCTTTCCGCAATTGATGTATTCGACGGCGGTTTCGCGGAAGAAGAAGTAGACGAAATCGCCTTGGGTCATCGAGTTGACGAAATCGGGCGCTATTTAAAAAAAAAAACAATTTTATGATTGTAGTGATTGAGAATAATATGAATTGGATTTCAATTAGGGTTTATACAAAAATCGTCTTTAACCTTTGTCGTCTGACGGTACTTATAATCATTATTTAATTTATAAAGAGACGTGAAACAGACCTAAATACTTATTGAGACTTTGATAATTTGTATTTTAACTATGTGCAGGTGACAAAGGGTTATAAAAACGGTTTTCGAAACTCAACTTCTCTACAAACCGGTTTTAGACTTTATACAAAAACAAAATAGAGAAAAAGGATTTCTGCAAACTTATTTTCCTCTTATGTATACATTCTTGATAATATTTATCCAAAAAAAACTTAATAATCTCATTGTTTTTAGAGCCTAGTGTAAGAAATAAGCTAGACGATTTTGTCAAAACGTGAAAACTGTGAAAATTGTGAAGAAATGTTATTAAAACCTTTAGAACTAATTTCACATTTCATTTTTTTTTTGCAATTCACGTAACAGAGACGATTTTGTGTCAACATTAAACTAATTGATTCATTTTTGGCTCAAAAAACGGTTTTTTACTTGATAAAAAAACTCTGTTTTCTAATTACATAAATGTACTCAAAAAAACGGTTTTCAGAAACAAACCCTAATTTCAACGTACCGTTCAGACTCATCGAATCGTATTGTTCGGTCTGCAGTGGTTCCCTATAGATAATTGGGTCCATTCCGCTGAAATCCGCCACAGTTCCGGTATACAAGTCGCCATCTGTAATAACACACACACAAGAAGAAAAAAAACATTAAATTTAATAATATTTTCGATGGTAACGAGAGATATATATATATGTAACATTGGTATAATGAGATCTTGGAAGGCGCGGGTGCGGAAGGAATATTGCACAGAATACATGTATGAGTGGAAAGGAACGACTTCAAAGGATGATGCAAGAATAGAGACTGAATCCGTTGGGAGGATAACGAGCACGAATAATGAAGATATTTTATGCATGTTTGGTCGCTGCTGCTGCTGCTACTACACATTGTACGCGTTCCTTCTTTCTTATATATTTTCTTTTCACATTCAATTGTAGACCAGATCGCAAAAAAAACACCTTTTGTCATTTGCCGGAAGATAAACAATAAGAAATAAAGAAACAAACAACATTTCTTATTTATTGTATCGCCCGTTATTATTAGGGATTCTACGTTGTTCCCTTTCATCCCTCTATCTACTGAAGCTTTACTTTTTTTTTCTCTCGTTCGTTCGTTCTTTCTCCCAGTTGAACGCGTTTCTATAAATATTAATGCGCCTGGGAGGATTTGGTAGGTGATAAATAAATTGTGTCGTCCACTTACCGACGTATATTGCCGTGGAATTGTGATGAGGATCGTACGGGCAGACTGCTTGGCCCGGTTTCTCCTTCTCCATTGTGTAGTTGCCCGAGAGGACGTTGTACTCCCTGCAGACGGGCTTGAACGAGTTCGTGCCGCATAATAGTAGACGTCCCTCTTCAGACTTTGTCATAATCCTTATGTAATTTTGACAATTCTCCTAAAAGATACAACAAAAACACAACCAACGTGAAAAATTTGAACGCACAACAGAAAAAAAAAATTATATACTTTATACAAAAAGCGACTTTAAAAAAAAACCGGTCAACGTTTTATGTCGGAGTTGAATTTGTGTCGAAATGTTTGTTTTTAATCAAATAATCAATTCATTTTTATATTTTAAGTCTTCGTCTCAAAAACCGTGTTTTTTTTAGTTGAAAAGAAAAGAAAACGGGTATCAAAAACTGACAAACCCTAGCCATTAGTCAAGGGGAGATTGATGAGTAAAATTTACTTTCAGTTGTTGTATAGTTTGCGGTAACCGGAAGTGGTTTTAAATCATGGGGTGCCGCGGTTTTCGGATTGACTTCTATGGGGAGTGGGTGAATAGAAGGCTACACTTAATGGACACATCGAATGGAGTTACCCTCTTGCTACCTGCATCAGTTATAAATTGTGTATAGACTTAGATGCGGGGATAATAAAGCGCGCGCTAGAGGGATGAAGGTAGTAGTAGAAGAAGGTTGGTGGTCGATATCACACAGGTAATTTATTGGGGGGAACAGCGCTAATGGCTACAAGACCTGAGGCTGATTATTTATCCTCTCGCCCCCGTGACAAGCCCAGAAAGCGATTAGACATGGCGAAAGCGAAAAGAATGGAGAGTTGGAGATGAGGTGGAGGAGCCGGGTATAAATCAGACGACTGGGAGGCGAACAATGCCCCCCGCAAAAAGTTAATGGGGAGGACATGGAAGACGCTCGGCTCTCTCTCGTCCTCCTTGCGCGAGATAGATGAATACAAAAAGAAAACAAACAAAAAATTGTATAAGAAAGAGAAAATAATGCTAGAAGAACAATAACTTTGATGACGCACAAAAATAAAGCTTGGATGACGCAAGGAACAAAAAAAAAACAAAGCATTATAGACGATAATTATACTAATGTTTATATAACTAAAAGATAACAAAGACATGTTACATAATTGTATTATGAAACCGAACTGTTTGAAATGAGCAAAACGAAATTAAAGCAATTAAAAGTTATCAATGTTCGTTCCAAAGATTTAGAAAATTGGATTTTTAATTGAACTCAAGGTGAATTTTGGAATCTAAAATCAAATTTTCAGATATGTAGATTTGCCAAAATTTTGGAATTGCAAAGTTATTCATAAATTAAACGTAAGATTGACCCAAATATATCTGTATCATTATTTTTTTAGATTATCCTAATTCTTATTGTAGAGCACAAATATCAAAATGAGTTTGTTATTAAAACCATGAAAAAATAATGTATTTTCATTATAAAATGCAGTAGAGTAAAATGTAATAAGCAATTCACGAACTCACATACATAAAAGTTAGTCGAAACTTTCGGATAAAAGAACTTCCGAGTGGTATGCGGTTTTTTTTTGTGCAACTGTGCGAAAAAATCTAGTGTCAAGTTTGTTTTGAAAGTTTAAAGTTACAGAAAAGAGAAATAATGATATTAATTGTATATAATAGGCAAGGAAATGAAACTCCGAGCTGATAGTTTTTTTTTGTTCATGGCGAGGCGATGGTTTTTCATTGGATGCTGCCCCCCGAGAGATAAATGAAAATTGCTGCCGGAAAAATGTATTATGAATGTGGCGCAACTCCGCGAAAAATAAGGTGTGCGACGTGACCATTAATAATGTTGTTTTTCAACTGGAAATACACGCAGAAAAACATACAGGAAGAAGAATCTTTCGAGTTGACTTCGTAATGAATTTAAAATTTATGGATGCTTAACGCATTCAGCCACTTTTCCGCTCCTCCTTTTTTCTCTTTGCACGTTCAGTTTCTTTTTATCGTCCGGATAAAATCCGCCAGGTACAGGACGACCGTAATTAATGGTATATTCAAATTTCATTGAAGCAAAAGAAATATCTATGGGATTTACTCTAGTTCTTAATGAATTGCGAAGTGGATTGATGATGATCATCGTTGCGGACTTGGATGAATTTTCAATGGAAAAGTTTGATCGAAACGAAGAGTTTATCCTAATCTAATTCGTGTAGCGATATGAATGTTGATGATGTATATATAGTATATAGTTGTCGTCGTATAGAACAAGCAGACCCAAGTAATAAGCATTAATAAATTCCCGGGGAAATTGTCATGGAAAATGGTCTGCGTTGCGCCATTTAATTGGAGTGGTCTGGGACAGTTTATCTCTTAGTTTATGTGGACGTTCGCATATCGTGACAACGTACCATTTATACGATGGCAAAACTGTTACCATTGAAATAATAAACAGCGCCCAGCAGATGAATAACGGGTATTAATGCGAAAACGAGGCGAGTTTTCCCTCAATTCCCGATCCAGCGAACAAAACCGTTTAGCCTCCCACAATTCAGTACACCAATCATGTTTTTCCGCCAATTCAAACCGCAGTTTCGCACTTTTCTTTTTAATTGGATCAGCAGAGGGAACACGTGAATATGGTTTTAACGAAAGTCTTGCATTTCGTGCTCGAAAAGGTCAATCGAAATCCCGTTACAGCTCCCACACATTACCCTCACAGACGACTTATCAAACGCGGTGTGTGTTCGCATGTATCTCTTCCCGATTATCATCCAGAAAATCATCCGAGTCGTTAGGTAAAGTACCTTTCTTCCGCTCTTCGGGAATCCACATCCACCGAGAAGGCTCTCTTATCGCGTTTCATTTCACTCCATCGTATCACCTCATCACATACAACAGAAAACCGCACCTTTGAAATCGTTTCGTACTCCTTTTTTTTTGTAAAGAATTTCGGGTCCATTGTATGCGACTCGCTGTAACTTACCACATTGACACTACTTTTTCGTTTTAATCTGAAAAACCCCGATAAGGAAACACTATGTATGCACCCTGAGAATCAGCGTGACTTTAAGTAAATTCTATGATATAAACTTTTTGAAATCCTAATGTATATAAAATTTAAATGTAACTTATTTCATTTTTCACATTCTGTGCAATTTCATTCCGAATTTCGTGTATATAAAATTTAAAAAAAAAAGATAATTTAATATAAAAGTTGCAAAACTGTCAGTAGTTGTCATTAATGTCACTTGTCAAATTGTCTATCAATAAACAAAATAGCATGGCAAAACCGGGGGAATAAAAGTTGAGGTTCAATGTGATATTCTTGGATTAGATTGGTTTTGCGTAATTGTAAGAGCAAGAAAACGTGAGCTGTGCGAGTAGTTGTTGTTCCTACGTGTGTACGTAGTTGTAAGACCGCAATTGTGGATCCGAGGCGGCGTTGCGGATTAGAACTGAATACATTGCATAATACTGTTTCCCACCGATGATTATGACACGACTAATGTATTCTATGCGAACTATTCTAGTTTTGGTATGAGATGTCTCAATTCCTGAACATACTCTTCAAGAATATCAAGGATAAATATTCATTTAAATTTATTTTGTAAGTGGATTCCATCTGCAGCAGCAGCAGCAGCAGCAGCAGCAGCTTCCTTTAACGATAAATTTCGATCATTCAATTTAATTAGGTTGAATCCATTCTCTGTGCTGGCGGAGAAGAGATCACGTGCGGACTTAAATTTCAATTGATAAGTCGAAGCGCAATTCTTGTATATACAGAATAGATGAATATTGTATGTAGGAGGAAATCGCAGATGTTTCGGAAGTGGAGGTGGAGAAGACGGTTGCTCATTTCCTTTTGTTGAGAGCGGTTTCGTTGAAAAGTTGTAAACAGCTTAGGTAAATAAATTAAAGATTAAGCGGTCCAAAGTTTTCCACGAGGCGTTCGTCCCGTACCGGCCGCTATGCAAAATCGATGGACTTGCCGAAGAGAGGACATCATCATCATCATCTTCCTCCTTCTACTCATCTCCGGGAATGCTAAGCCAGGATGAAGAAGTTCCGCATAAGAGAGTAATACGATTAGGCGACGAAGAAGACGGCTCGGTTCTCTCTCAGTTTATAAGATTGATCGCTTGCAAATACTAACGAAACTTTTTCAACCGATTAAAACTATATAATCTCTATCCACTCTATAATCCTAATCCTTCATAAGCGACTTTTGATATCTTAATAATATTTTCGAAATGCTTCATAAAACACATTAACGGTTTGCAACGATTTTATATTTTCGTTTGATTGATGAGATTAATATTTAATCTGCAATCTGTCATAATTAAAACCGTATATATTTGTCATGTCAGGCATACCAACTGCTATGCAATTGTAGCTGTTACATCAGTTTAAATGTCATTTGTTTCCATGACAACGAATAGTAGGACTATAGTAGCCTGAAATAAATGAATGTCTCTTAATCTCATTAATTATTTGATATACAATGTGATTCTTATTAGAAATTTGATTCTTTTGCAGAATAATTTGTAATTTATGACTGTCCATTTATCCTTTTGATACTTTTTTTGTAATTTATTTGTCAGGCGTATCAACTATTACGCACGTTATGCAATTGCAACTGTTAGATCATTTTAAGAGACATTTGTTTCCATGACAACGAATACATGACTGAAACAAATTTATGTCATTTGTCACTGGAATGACAATTCTCTGTTTACTCAATTGACACAATATTTTATAGAGTTGGCTTCATTGTAACCAATATAATTTAGCAAATATTCGTTAATATTTACTTGATAATACATAAATATTATCATAAATTGACATGAAATAATAGTGGATTACTTCTTTTTTAAGTCGGTATGCAATATTAGATAAAGAAACTAGTAATAGATTTGTAATAGCAGGTTAGTTGTTTTAGTAGTAGTGGTAGTTTGTTATTGATGGTGGGAAAACGTGGAAAGAACACAAACCGCGTTCTGACTGAATAATTCAAAAGCGACGTACAGAAAAGCAAGAACAATAACGATACGTAATCGATTAATTGTAAATAATTGAAAGTTTTTCAAACCAAAAAAAAAAGAACAAATTTCATCACAAATTGATCGGCGCCAAAGTGGTTTCGGTATTCGAAGAATCGCGTGAGCAGCCCGAAACAATTTATCATATTCCTCGAGTATTTCTGCATAGTAGATGCTCCACCACGAGCACTTCCAATATACAAGGATTGATAGTCCCCAAAGTGCTTCAGCCCTTCCTCGAAGATGATACGCGTATAAATTGGTGGTAGAAGCAAAAAAAAAAGCTATTGAATAGATAAACTATTGTCTCGGATATTTCCTAACAGTTTTATTTCATGGCAACGATTTTTTTGAACTAGTTCAATTGGGATCTTCATTATTCAAGACGATTTAATCGCGCAACTCTCTCGAGATTATTGGCTTCGTTTAATAATTCCTTCTGTTGTTTCTGCAACAGAGGTCGCTCTTAAATCAACGTGTTAAGTGGATCCGAGGGAGTTGTTTTACGTTTTCCATTCCGAAGGAAAAGATCGGGTGAGGGTTGAGAGACTGCAACCGGCGAATCAATTACTCCGGGCTTCGGTGCACTTCATTACGTAATAAACGGAAAATCGGTGGGACGGGAGACGGAAAAGTTGAAATTAAATTCCAACCGCATCGCGTATAGGAGAGGAGGAATATCCTAATTCCATTTGTTAATTCCGCGTATCGCTTTTGATCTCCTCAATTGGCATTGTCTAGTTGCGAAAGAGCTATAGAAGAGACGGGAACAAGAAGAGCGAACATTTAGCCAGCAGCATCGTATTAAAACTTTATTAAAAAAAAGTATTACTCCTTTTTGTTTCATCTTACTCTGAATATTGAATACATCAGCGTTTCTCAACTTATTTCTCCGCATGACCCAATTGTTTCTAATGTAAAATTTTTGACATTTAAACGCAAGGTGACAGCTGTCAGAGATCAGAATTATTAATGTCATTTTTTGTTGTCTAATACTAGATAAAGGGCAATTTTTATCATAATATTTTTTTATAAATTATTTTACAAAACTCTATTGATAAAGATTTTCAACTGTACAAAAGTCGCCAATGAATTAAAAACAGATAAATTGAAATTTTATCGATGTATTTGTTAAGTTCACTAGGATCCAAGTGTATTATGTACAGAGAAGACAAATGTTGAATAGAGAAAAAAAAAACGAACACTGCGAAATAGTCGTGTAATTACGAAACAAAATGTGAGTGGAAAAGTGCGCTTTGATAGAGAGCGCGCACACTGCTCGAGTGAGTGTGTTTTTGTGCCCTATACGCTCGAGCATCGCCACTCGAATGTGTGTGTGTGGATTGTTGCAAATGACGTTCAGCTTACCTCGTCCTTTCCTTTCATCACGCACATCTTCACGTCCTGATCATTGGAGAACCACGTGAGCCGCTGCTGTTCCACCAGATTCGACATGCTCAGATTGTACACCAGATTCCTGCAATCAAATAAAGAAATCTAGTTAATCAAAATGCAAATGCATTCGCAGGATGCAACAACGTAACTAGTTTATGAACGGCGCCAGCTGAAAGCATTTCCGTCAAGAGAAAAATAAAACGAATGGAAATAAGTTTGCTGCTTGCGGATGGAAATTGCTGTGACATTATTGTTATTATTGGCACATCCGTTTGCGTCTTAAAGATAGATTTTTCCTATTTAAATGGGAACTTATATATTTATTTGTAGAAGGAAGTAAAGCACGAAGGAGAGAAGTTGGATTGGCGACTTGTTAGGATTTTGTGATCGTGACTGGACTGAAGACACATCGATTTCGAAACAACGGTCGCTTCACTGTCAGGATTATGACAGTAAGCAAGAAGTTGCAGTATTCCTCCTAGTGGAATTCGCTGGAATTAAAAAAAAAAACATCAAAAACGAGAAAGACGCTCAAAATCCAACTGGTGAGTGAGTTAGCGTTGGAACGATGTTCGCTAGACTCGAAAGAATACTGTATCTCTACATTATTGATACGCCCGACCAATAAGATTGGCGCGAGATATTGATATGTTGGGAAAGAGAGAGAGAAGAGAGTGAGTATCACCTTTGAACTCAAACAGCTCCGCAGCTATATTCAAATCCGAGACATACTCGCTAGAGCCGAAATTGAAATATCCCTTATCTCTGTCGTCACCCGCAAAACGGGAGGATCTGCATCAACTAAAAAAAAAGGATGAGAGCGTTTCAACCCTCGCCTCGTTCTCTCCTCCCCACGTCAAAAACTTATCGCGCGGAACGGCAAATCGGTTGATAAATATTAATCATACACAAATCGACGCTCGATAAAAACCAGATATATATATATACTTCAAACTTTATCTCATTTTTATAAGATGTACTAGCAAAAGTTGAACTTTAACATTTTAGGGATTTTTCTCAGAAACAATGATAGATGGAATCGATTCAAAAGATGTAAATGAAAGTTAGACATTTAGGGAATGTAGTGTGTATTCAAATATTACTATGGTTTCGTTCATTTGCCTGTAATTAGCAAATTTTAATGGGTCGCAAAATGGCAGCTGTCATCTTTCATTGAAACGTCAACAATTTTATAGTACAATCTCTCTCTATACTGTTACAAAACTCATTCGTATTCATGTATTTAGCATTTAGGAATGATGAAACTGAACAATCGCTTCTAATAATTAAGTTAATGTCCAAATCGAAAGTAACCTATAAACATATTGATCAATGTTTCTCATGTAAAATTGTTGTTTTTCTTTAATGGATCGTGAGATGACAGCTGTCATCTTTCATCGAATCGTCAACAATTTTATATTACAAACTCTGTTAGAAAACTAATTGGTCTAGAATCGATAATATTACTACGTGAAAACTACCCTTATTATATTATTTAATAAATACATAAAAAAAATAAAAAAAATGAAATCTTTAGAAGCATTTGAACGTATTCAAGCTATTATATTTTTCTGTGTGTGTGCAGTAGCGATGTGCATGAATGGAGATGATAGTCGTTGGGGGCAAATTTAATTGCCAATCTCGATGAAAATTCTACAATCGATTCCACCAACTGCCATATACAAAATAATCGTACAATTCTACAATTCGCACACACACATATATGTATATATTATTGAATAAGCTAGAGATAGAAATCCAGAAAAATTCTAATAATATAAAAATAATCTATTGTACTTTCAAAGTTTCCTTTGTAAATGACAGACTTCAAGATATCTAAAAGGAAAGACATTATCTGTTATTCTGATAACGACCGAAAAAAAGCCCAAGAAAGCGGAAGAATTTATTTTGAAATGTTTGTGAAAATATTTATTTACAGTTGGAAAAGTTAACTAAGTATTTCAAGAAAACTAATATATTGCTTTCAAGTGCATTGAGATTATTGCAGATGGCGTTGTCTTTAAATGTTTTTTTTTTGAAGGACTTTCAGGATTGCGAATATAAAAATAAGATGGGGAAAGGAAACGTTTATTTTTTTTCTTGCTGGAACGAAGACGACAACAATAAAAGACATTCTGTCGTACAAAATATAAAAATTCATATGGACACCTTTTATTGTCCTCCGCATAAACTTTGCGTATGTTTGTACTTTTTCCTTTTTTTTTCTTTCTATATATATATATTTTTATTCGACTCCTTTCTATCCTTCATAACGTGGATCTGCTTCGGTTCGTTTTGCTTCAATTGCCTTCTTTGTGTTTTTCTCTTCTTTTCTTTTGGTCGGTGTAGGAACAAGAGCATATTGGACGAGAGAGAGAACATGCAGTGCCATAAAAAAAGGTCAATGGTCACCAGTTCTTGGAGGGTGCACACGAGCCCGAACCAATTTACCCCAAGGCAAGGAATAAACAACATTTATTCATCTTCGGGGGGAGAGAGAAAGCAGAACGAACGTCTTGGTTCGATCTTGCAGATCCCTCGTTTCATCCCTTCGCGATCGGGGATGGAGAAAAGAAGTAGGCGGTGGAAATGGGGGGTTGAGCGTCTTCTAGTTAGGCGTCGGGTCAGATTATAGGGACTACGGGGGCGCCCATTAAGGGATTCTCGAGTGCACTCCAGTAATTGCAACATCTCAACCACAGTCGTACCAACCACCCACCCATACACACACACACCAAACCCTCCAGCACAACCCCAAAAACGCGCGACGATCGATATAAGCCAACCCCCGCACGTTGCGCACTCCACGTGACGGGTGGAAGGGTGGAAAAGCGGAGGCGGCGGCAACGGGGCGCTTTTTCCGTTAGTCCCTCAACCCCCAAGCGCGCGCGTCAATTAAAAATATAATTGGCCAAATCGCCGGAGGACACGCGCCTCAATACAGAAACAAACCGTAATGAAAGTGTTTGTTGTTTCATGCGCAACCCTCGTTGTTTTCATCACTCTATCTATTTTTCTTCTTTTTTTTTATCTCTCTTTGCTACTGCTGCTGTTATCATTTTTGCTCTCTTTAATAAACGCAATAATTAATAGGCGCATCGAACGAAAAGCGGATTCACGCTCATTAAATTTATCGCATTTGAAAAAGAATACCAGTAAAAAAAAATATAAACAATTTAAATCCAATTATCCTCTAGGGCAGTCACGGATTTACCCAAATCCGCATTTAATTGATCGATCTGCGCACATATTACTGCGAACAGAATAAATAGAACTGTAGCAAGTTTTTGTTTGTTTGTTTTCTTTCAGTTTCCAATTCGTTTGTTTTGCTGCCGTTCCTGCAGTGGCGGCATATATGAATATCTAGGATATTGGATATTGTGTATATGCACATGCATATGAAATGTGTGTGGATCGATGGATATAGCCGGAGGAGGGTTCGTTGCTTGATCCAAATCAACCTCACCCCTTCACTAGTTGCATTGACCCCGATGTTTCCTCGCTTTGGCAGTTAAACACCACCAACACAACCATCCATTCATCTCCCTTCCCAAGCGAAAAACACATCTCAATTAATTCGAAAAAAAAAACAAAGCAAATAAAGCAATTTCTCAACGAAATTCATACAATATTGCAGCTATTCTTAACTTACGATTAATACTCTTAATTTGCTTATTTTCCATGAAATATTATCTGTTAAAGCATTTTTTGTTCATTGCATTTCGCATCTCTGCGAGACATAGCCATAAAATATTTCCAAAAAAATCAAATTTGACTAAGAGAAAAAATGGATTTCAAAACTTTCTCACTTCGCAGACATCTTCTCCATTCTAAACACTGCGTGAAGAAGATGCGAGATAAAATAGAGGACGATGAATATGAAACTTCGTAAATGGATTCGAAGAATAGTATCGAAATTATTATAGATTTCATCATTATTTTCGCATATTTGCACAAAATTCTATATCAATATTAAATTTATACAATAATTTTATAGACTACTTTTCAAAATCCAAACGGATTAGTGCGCGATTAACGTTAGTTTGAATTTTGAATTTTCATTTGAAAAAAAAAAACCGGACGAATAATTAATGTTATTAAAACAAAATATAAATTGTAATAAAAATGAAGTAGTTTTTTGAATGACGAAATAAATTGAGGCGCATCTAATTTCGCAACGAAACATAAATCACGAGGCAGTTATTTCATGTTTTTTTTTTATTGTTGTTGCTTCGTTTAACGTGTTTGAAATTGGGGAGATGGGGGGGCAATTATTACTTTTTTTTTTTTGGATCCAATTCCCCAGTCGATATATTTTTCCCTCTGTACGAGAGAATATAGTTGCGTTATTTTTTTTTGTCAAACAAACGTGTGGCACCCTTGCGTATTGTATGTCGACTGTATCGCATTACGAGCAGACAATTTAGATAATGAACGTTTCTAACTCATTTACATTTGGAACGATATCGCGCGAACGAGCGCAGGCGAGGGCAGCAATTTATACCCTTTTCCCGCAGGATGGTCGCACTATCATCAAACATCGCCGAACAAACATTATCATTACGCGATTATACTTTAGAGGAGGCGGCGGTGGAAACAGACACTCACGATTATAATACTTCGAGCAACTTGGTAGATGAGAAGGGTGGGTGTGTGTGTAAGGGAGACAGGAAATGAAGGCGGCGAAAGGGCCGGTAATACAGGACGATTAAATTATTGTTTGAATCTGGACCCGAAACTAATTATAATTTTGCGGAACCCGAAGTGCCACAATGGAAACGCCGCCGGGCGCTTCCTCAATTTACCTCATTGATTCTTTGAAACTATCCGCAAGGAGGTCTAATCTAACAATAACATCTAATTGACGACCCAGTTTTCAGAGTTTCCCCACGCTATACTAATCCGCCACCGAAAACTACATTCCGTGCATGCATAAAATCCATTGAATCTGGAGGTTAATCCAATTTAAACAAATATTCTCCGCTACGTAAATACCAACAATAATAACGCTACAGGGATTGCAAGTCATAACAATACATCGAACAAATGAATTTAAAATAACTCTCTAACTCTATTGTTCAA